CCGTCCTGGCTAGTCCTCCTAGAAGCATTAGGGTCGAAGTAAGCAGCCGGACTGGCAACGGCTGGTGAGGCGGCGTCAGAAGTGGAGGGTTTGGTAGCCGGTGTGGCAGCCGGTGCGGTGACGACTGCATAGGCGGCGGCTAAAGGTTCTACGGCGGAGCTGGATGTGGCAGGTGCGGCAGCTGGTAAGTTGGCGGCCATTGTTGCTGCCGGTGCAGCGGCAGCGCAAAAGCCAATGCGGCTGCTGGTGCAGCGGCGGGTTGCCTGGCCGGTGGAGGTGCTCGCCAGTTGGCGACAACGGCGTAACCATATGAGGATTAAGATGGTTAATATGCACGCGATGATGATGAACCCCACAATTCACATGACGATTACGAAGACGTGTCTGTCTGATCGAGAGTGGAGAGGAGGCAGCGACTTCTCAATGACATTGTTTCGATCGTAATTTCTGATGATCTTCATCTTTCTCACCTCCATCATCTTATCGAAAATTGACTTTCCAAAAGGAGAAACTGGCTGTTTTAAGAAAGCTCAATCTGTCGCATATTAGTTGCTGGATCAAATTTATATCTAACATTATAAGCGCAGGCAGAGTATATTTTCTTATACGCCGTCGCTTATTAGTCATTGGATCAAATTTTACATCTTACACCAGACACACGAGCAGAGTATATTTTCTTATACAGAGTAAGTATTATTTTTTTGGAAAATTATGTGCACCGCTGCCTATCTTTGTGGCAGACTCCGCTGCCCCTCTTCGCATGACTCCGCCGCCCATCTTTGTGGCAGTCTCCCTTTTCCCACTTCGATGCAGTCTCCGTTGCCTTTGCCCCCTCAGCGCTCTTCCGATCTGAAATCTTTGTCAAAGGAGGGATGGACGAACGCCATATCCCGAAGCTTTGTCGTTGCAATTAAACTAAGAGGACAAAAGATAGAATAGAAAGTGGGGTTAGAAGAGGAAAAAGGAGAAAGAAATATGGTGACTGGGGGAGTGGCACGAATAAGAAGGATGAAGAGTGTTGTGGTAGCCTTGACAGGTGGGAGTAAGAAGAAAGAAGAAAAAAATGAAAAGAAGAAAAAGAAGGGTAGATTAGTCTTTTTGGCTCAATTTATTTGCCAAATAAGGAAATGAGAAGAATCAAGTGAGACAATCCAAAAAGAAAAGTGAGAAAAAAGATATGGGACGGAGGGAGTAATAGGTTTCTACCTCCTCTAATCCAGCTCCGCCGCAGAACCTTTAGTCGTCGTCTCAGCAGCCGTCACCGCACCGGCTACCAAACCCTCCACTTCTGCCGCCGCCTCAGCAACCGTCGCCAGTCCGGCTGCTTATTTCAACCCTCATGCCTCTGGGAGGACTAGCTAGGACAATTGTACGGTGTTAACGGATATCTTTGGGGGCTTTTCAGATTATTGTTGTAAGTTCATCAATTTTGATCTCATATTATTAAAAAAATATGATGTATTTAATCATCTTAATCCTCGGATGGTCAAAGCATTGTCGTCTGGAAGTTGCCACCTCCTCTCCACTCCCAATTAGACTGACGCGTCCTCGTGGTCGTCCTTGTGGATTGTGGGGTTCATCATCATTGCGTGCATATTAATCATCTTAATCCTCGGATGGTTACGCCACCGCCGCCAACCGGTTGGCATCTCCACCGGCCAGATATGCCGCTGCACCGCCTGACGGCGCACTGCCAGCTGCTGCACTGACGGCCGCATTGGCCGATGCGGCTGCCAACCTACATGCTACCTCCAGCTCCGCCGCTGAACCTCAACTGTCACCCGCACTGGCTGCCGCACTCGCCAGATTCATCTTCGCAGCTCTCGCCATATCCACTCCCACAACCACCGCAGAACCATCAGTCGTTGCCGCAACGGCATCCACCTCCACTGTAGAACCCTCAGCCGACGCCTCAGCAGCCGTCGTCGCACCGGCTGCCAAACCCTAAACCTCTGCCGCCGCCTCAGCAGCTGTCGCCGCTCTGGCTGCTTACTTCAACCCTATGCCTCTTGGAAGACTAGCTAGGACGGTTGTATGGTGTTAACGGGGGCCTTTATTGTTGTAAGTTCATCAATTTTGATCTCATTTTATTAAAAAATATGATGTATTTAATTTGTGGATGATTTAATTAGATTAATGTATTCATTAATTTTATAATTTGGATTTTACAGGAGCAAGAGTATTGGGGAAGGAGGAACAAGGAGATCCGATTGCTTTTCGATTCATCTCCATTAAAAAGGCAAAGTAGCATATTCCATTAAGTTTCTGGGCAAATTAACTACTGGGATGTATATTCATATTCCATCAAAGAAAAAAAAAAGAAAGAAAGAAAAGAAAAGTATATTGGTATATCATATATGTGCTCATCCACTAACCCACATATTGTTCTATTGAATGTAGATACAAGTTAATGATACTTTTTATTTAATAATTACAGAATGATTTTCTTTTGATCTTAGATGACTTGTTAAATCTTTGTTTTGTTTTTTCACTGTGTCTCGATTCTGAAGTCCTTTAAATATCTGTTCTTGATATGAATTTATTTTGAGGTGATACGTTGGGGGTAGGCTGGAGAACCCCTTATTTCAATAGGTTGTTAAAGATTGGTAAAGTTCACCATGAAATTTATGACTATGTTTAAGGTTGTTGTCTTGTTTGATGCCAACTAAGATGTTTCGTTTTTCCAGTAAAATTATTATAATTGATGTAACTTATGGTTCATGTAGATTTGCATGTCTCTATTCTTCACCTCTCTGTTCCTTGTTGTTCAAGAGGGTATTTGGTACTTTCCATTTGATTTAAAGTCTGTTTGCTAAGGATTATTTGTTTGAATCTTCTAAATGCTTAGAAAATAAAATCATTTTGTGACATCCCTTTACTCCAAAAAACGCGGTGTTTGAGTGTCTTATTGCTTTGGTATCCGTTGGCACAACTAATATGTCTACTGTCTATCTATTTTCTACTCGATTGATTTGCATCATTTCATCACTAGAAGACTATGTTTGGTTCAAGAAAATGAAAAAGGTAACCATATGGTGAAGGTGGCAGCGAAGATTTTTCCAAGGGAATAGATCGAGATGGGGGGTTAAATACTCTCTCTCTCTTATTCCACTATTATTCCAAAAGAAAAGTCCAGAAAAATACTTGCAGTTTTGTTCGTGGTGGTTCGACTTTAAGGAGGTTGGAATATTCAATAAAAATAGAAGCTGAGATTGAGGAAACAAATAATATTAGGATACTAATCGTTTTAAGATGTGTGCATATGTTTGTTGAAATACAATGACACCGACCAAGATTAGCATTCTAAGAAAATTAATCAATGTAGTGGAGTTTGATTTATTTTATTTCTATTTTTTATTTGCTGAATGGGCATTGGAAAGGAGGTAAATAACCTCAATTGTGACACCAACCAAACCAGTGAAAATGGAGAGACACCTTCAAGGAAAGAGTTTTACGCACATTATGCCTACCTTCAAGGAAAGAGTTTCTTGCAATTTATTTATTTAGTGTTTGTGTGTTTTTTTGTTATGGTGATGATTATATTCTTTTCTTTTTCTGATAGAAACTCAGAGTTCTGGAAAATCATCAAATTCATATCTATTAACTCAACAAATTTTATTTCTATGAGCATTGTTATTTATAAACTCACAAATTTTTTTCCACTGTTGTGAAAACTCAAAAGAACTGAGTCAAGAGGTTTCAAGTGTAATCACATTATTTTAGAAAGGATGTGGATGCATAATTGCAAATGGTGTAGGCGTCGCTACTTTTTGGCTTTATAACATTTATGAAATTGGGATGACATGAATCGAACACAATATTATATTTGATATAACATTGCTCTAATAAATAATGGAAGAGTGTCTCAGTGTATGTGTAGTTCCTTTACTCTTCTTCCCAACGAAAATCCCCCAACCAAATAAGAGTATCAACAATGGAAAGCCGAAAATGAAATGTCATACGGCGACATAGAGCATTTTAACCAATCAAAAATAGTTCAGTCAGCATGTAGCAAGTAAATGGAGTGGCAAATGTAAGTCATTATTTTTTATTACTTTTTTTATGTGTTTTAAATATAAAAAATATTTTTATTATTTATTTTGTTAAAAAATTATTCTACTTTCTTGTACGTTTTTTTTCATAAAAAATTTTAAAATAATTATTTTTTTAAAAAAGAAAAAAAGTAGTATGAAGTGCCACACTCATGCCTCACAAAGCAAGATATTTTGGCCTTGTCATGCCATGATATGAGTGGAAGAAGCTAATGTGGCAATGCAAGGCATTCCTCTTCCTTGCCATTGCACATGCTCGAGTAGCATACCATTGGACATGCACCAAATATTGTTCCCATTGGAGGTCTCAATGCATAGTCTGACCCCAATACAATATCTTAAAAAACTACATTCAGCATATATGGTTCAAAAATTGGTGAATTGACATTTTAGATAAGATATGACTCTTTTGACATATTTGCAACTAATATTTAACACTACTATTTTAGTCTTTTTAGAATTTTTTACTCTTATTCAGAGAATTATTCTAAAAAATTATTCTAAAACTTTTCTTCTTTCTTTTTTTGTTTTTCACAAAACACTACTACTTTCTATTAAAAAATCACTTTTATCCCTATTTTATCTTGTCCTATGTATCAAATTATACTTTTTCACTAATAACATATCTATCACATCTTACAAACGTTTACTTATCACATCAAAGATAAAATTATAAAATCAACTACAAATATATACTCATTATTTCTATTAAAAGTCAAAATAAGAGTCATTTTATGAGACGAGAGTGTAACAAAACAGAAAAAGAGTACATATTTAAAGAGATACGGATTAAATCATTATAGAGTTATGACAACCATGCCAATGGGGCCATGGATGACTCAACCATTTATTATCCAGCTTTAAATTTTTAAATCCAAAAATGAAAAAGTTCCAATCACACCAATGATGAGAATGAAATCTCTATAAGAGCTTAGAAATACCCAAAGCCCATTTTAGAATTTTCATCTCCCCCAAAAAAAAAACTCCCAAAAGTTTTCTCTGTCAAACACATGGACCATTGTCCCCTTCTCCCATCCAATCGCCTTCCCTTCTTCTCCATCTTCATATTATCCTCTCAATCATTATTCTCCTTCCATTGCTAGCTACCTTCCCTTCCCTTTCTTCTAATATAAAGCACATTGTTTCACTAAGCTTCATATATATAAAAGTAAAAGTCAACCCCTTTTCTTCCTTGAGCCTATACACACACATATTATATATATAATCCATATAGCATCAAATCATCCATAAACCCTAGCTAACTTTATAAGGTTGGAGAAGATGAGCCAGTGTGTGCCCAATTGGGACATCGACGATGCTCATAATTCGACTCCCATCGACATCAACGCTCTCGCCCCCTCTGCATCCAATTCTCTATGCACTGATGTTCCCTCGTATGTATATTTGTCTAAAGTTGAATGAATGTTGGCATACATTGTGTCTATATTCGTTACGCTTTTGATATGCCCAAATAATTCAAAATTGTTGATCTAATAATGAAGTCAACAAAAGTTTAAATTCCTAGTGGTATATTTAAAAAATGTAACATACGGAGTAATATGTTACATATTTTTTGGTGTTGCAGGATGGACTATGAAGTGGCTGAGCTGACGTGGGAGAATGGGCAGTTGGCTATGCATGGGCTGGGAGCGCCGCGGCTGCCGACAAAGCTACTGGCGTCGGATACACTGTTGAAAGAGGCGTGGGAGAAGCCACGCGCCGGCGGCACTCTGGAGTCTATTGTAAGCCAAGCAACCTGCATGCCTACCCGCAAGCGCGGCGGCGGCGTCGAGGGAGTCGTGGGCGGCGAGATGGTCCCTTGGTTCGACCCCAACAACCACCGCCAGCTCGTCGGCGCGGCGAAGAATCCAGCGGCGGCCTCCTCCTCCGCCACATTGACGATGGACGCCTTGGTTCCGTGCTCGAAACCCACCTCCCCGCCCATCCCCCGATGGCCCGGCCACGAGCGAGAGCCCTCGGCGGCCGCACTGGGTTTCTCCGGCCACGTAGGGTCGTGCAGCGTCTTACCCGGCGGCGGGCGCGTGAGAGGCGGTGGCGCTCGGGAAATGAGCGTGAGCGCGAGCGCGACGTACAGTAAGGATAGCCGGCAGATGTCGGTGACGGACACGCGCGGAGAGAGGGATGTTTTCACGGAAGGGTTCACCTCCACCTCCATGGCCTCGCCGGAAAACACCAGCTCGGAGAAACAGTGCACTTTAAAGTCCGTCGATGATAATGATCACTCCGTCTGTCACAGTAGATCTCAGGCACGCATTTCATATTTATTATTATTATTATTATTATTATTATTATTATTATTATTATTATTATTATTATTATTTTAATTTCTTACAATTTTTTTATATTAATATAGAGGGATAATGAAATGGATGAGAAGAAAGATGGAAAATCGTCAGTTTCAACAAAAAGGAGCAGGGCTGCTGCTACTCACAATCAGTCCGAAAGGGTAACCATCGTTACATTAATAATAACAATAATGCGTAAAATTAATAATTATTATAATTATGTTTTCAAAAAAATTATTGTAGTTATATATACATATTATAAGTAGAACGAAACTAGTATAGTACTCCCTCCGTCCCATGAAACATTTCCTGTTTCAAAAAATGACGCGCCTTTAAAATGAGTAATTTTGGTGTTATTTTCAAATTATGATTAATCTATTCTACACATCTCATCCTACTCTTTTATAAAGTAAAGGCAAAATTAGAAAATAATACCAAAATTACTCATTTTAAAGGCGCGCCATTTTTGAAACATGTAATGTTTTATGGGATGGAGGGAGTATTACATTTGTGAAGTTTTGGAAAGTGTAATTAATTTATGTATGCATGCATGGTAAATTACAGAAAAGAAGAGACAAAATAAACCAGCGGATGAAGACATTGCAGAAATTGGTTCCCAATTCGAGTAAGGTATATATACTTGTTCTTCCTATATATTATGACTACTTTTTTTAGTTCTGTTTTATTTTCTTTATGGCACATAATTACATATGATTTGTCATATTATATAAATGACTCTAGATATATGGTCATTAGAAATAAGTGTTGGATAATAAATAATTATTTCAATAATTATTGAAATCATTTTTAATAATGTTTTATTATATTTAAATTATGTAAATAATTATTTTTTTCTTAAGGGTAAGACATTTTAAAACTTTCGATTGTCAAACATTAGAGTCGATAGAACTAATCATATTAATATAAAAGTGATAAGTTTAAGTTCTATTTGCGTAATTTTTGCTTTTAAAATACTCCATATGTAATTTTTTTTAATTTAAATTTCACTCTTTTGGGAGGTAGGAAGTATCCCAAGCCACTTGTAGCAAATACCGAGTAAAAGTTTGGGTACATTATTGAATTGGTTGGATATTGACATGACCATTAGTACCTCTCTAGCAAAGTTATGATTAAATAATAGGATGATGTTACTTGTGGCAGTATTAAAATAAATCAACTACTTTTTGAATGCTCGGATTTGTTTTGGATTCTTCCAGAACCCCTAATTATATATTGTTAGGGGCATCATCATAAAATTGGTCAGGTTTCGCAAAGCCTAAAACTAACCAAATTTAGCTTAGATCACTCCAAGATATAGTTTGTACATTACAAAAAACAAAACAGGAAAGTTTTAGAGAAACTTCCTTAGGTTTGATAAGATCAACCTAGTACATTAAATATACCCCGGAGTATTCATTTGGAACTTCAAGAGAAACTTCCTTTAGGATAAGAATCACATTTTTATTGTGCCCCAACAAAGAAGAATTTAGTTCACACTTGATTTTAAGAAAAATAATCATAAAAATATCCTAAAATATGAGTGCATGGTTAACATTTTTTTTAAATAAAATATTTCTCAACACATTTATTTTTTATAAGAATTATATTAATAAAATACAAAATAAACAAATTTATTTAATTATTGTTTAAAAAAACTACTTCCTCTGTCTGGAATTTTTTTCACACTTTTCTAAAAAAATTAATATTATGTTAAATTAAAATATTTTAATTAACTTGGGGCAAAGAGTGACTATGGTTTTTAGAATGGGGAATTAAAAAAACATATATTTTTTTTTCCTATCGGGTACGTAGTACTACATCAATACTCGGTATCTAGATAAGGAGATGAATAGAAAGATGGATTTGGAAGTTAGCAAAGAGAAAACTGGCAGGGTAGGTGGGTTTAGCCAGCTTTAATTACATAAAAAAAGCAAAAAAAGAGGGATGGTAGAGGTATACTAAAAATGTATTCCAAATGTACACCACCCATTTTTTTACCACTTGTTTTTATTTATTTATTTTTTGTTTATTTTATTTGCCAATATATGTGGCATTGGAGGGGATGGTTTACATTTGGGGTACACCTTTGGTGTAAGGTGTACCCCTAACATTTTTCAAAAGAAAAAAACTTACTTCCACTCGTCCTTTGCTCCAAGAATGTGTTCAACCATTTTTTAATCTATCCAAAATAAATGTTTTGCTTGAGGAAAGATGAGAAAATATGATGTTAAAAATTTTAAAAAATATAGAAGAAATCAAAGAGGAATGATGGTGTGAACCACATAGTTCTTTTCTATGAACTAAAAAAAATACTACTCAGTATATAAGCAAGTTTTGTTTCACTCTTAATTTATTCGTTACTTTCACATGTGAAGATGATTTTGGGATGAAAAAAGAAAAAAGCAACATATTATAAAATAAATTTTAAAAACTTTGACCATAAAAGACTAAATGGAAACTTAATTTTGAGATTGAAAGGTGAAACTTTATTTATTTATTTATTTTTGTCTCCAAACATTATATTATTAATATGATTTGTTGCGTAATTTATGCATGTGTCAAAAACATATCGATTTTCTCCAACTAAGACCGGTCCTATTACTCTAACATTTGGTTATGATAAATTCTAAAATGTCATGTCTTTAAAAAAAATACTCCCTCCGTCCGCCTAAGATGTTCTCATTTTGACTTTTGGTGGTTTTTAAGGAGAGTTGAAAAAAGGTGAAAGTTTACCATAATACCCTTAATGAAATATGGGTGGAGTGTATTAAATGAGGTGGGTGAGGTGTAATAAATAAAGTAAGTGGGGGTAGTTGTGGTATTTTACTTGTTAAAAAATGAAATGAGAAGATCTATTGTGGACAAAGAAAAAGGGCTATTGGGAAGATCTATGGTGGACAGAGGGAGTAACATATTACATAATTTAAATAAAAAAGATATCATTAAAAACAATTTGAGGAGTCATTGAAATAATCAATCATTATACAATACTTGTTATTAGTGATCATATTCGTAAAGTCATTAATATGATTATTCGTTGCCTAACACTTTGCTAATAAAGACATACTACGTATATGACAGATCATACGAAAACAGGTACATAAATTCAGAAAAATGTATACTCCGTATTTTTTAAAAAAGGAATAAAATTTTCTGATTTCTTTGAGCGTAGAAAAGGTGAATAAATTAAAATGGGGCAGAAAAAACATGTGGTGCCTTAGATGGGGTATGGATAGCGCTATAGGGACGGTTAATAATAAGAGGGGGGGGGGGGGGCAAGGAAATGGATACGACCACATGTGGAGTCGGAAAATAAATAAAAGATTGGTGGGAAAATGCTAGTCCACAAACGTTATTTAATTAGGTTAAGGCTATTTAGGATTGATTGGAGACCAGACAAGTCCGCGGAAAGGTCGGTCGTTTGTTGCCTCGACACTTCTTCTCCCCCACTTAAAGCCTCCCACTCTCTCCCTTAGCTCGGTTCCTATCCAATACTCTTTCTATCCCACACATTATTACTTGTCCTATTGTACGTTAGGGTAAAATTAAAAAATAATATCAAAATTATAGTTTCAGTTCTCAAAAACATTTCTCTTTTTATTTTTTTTACTTCCAATAAAATGCTTTCGCTTTTTATTAAAAAATTACTTTTACCCTTACTTTTTCATATCTTACATATCATATCATACTTTTTCTCTAATAATCTATTCATCACATCTTACTTTTACACATTACATCAAGGGAAAAATTGTAAGTCAACTATAATTTAAAACTTCTTTAATTTTACACTTGATCAAAATAGAAACTTGTTTTGAGAACGGAGAGAGTATATATTTTTAAGGCACGCCTTTTTCTAACAGGAAAATCTTTTAGAGACTGAGGTATTACATTAAATCTTCTACAAAACAAGAGGTGACAAGACTATATTATTTTATGAAATGAGTAGCAAATAAGCAAACAAAGTAAGTTAATTTTACCTCCGATTTCATAAAACTCTTTGGTACGAAGAACTATTTTGAAAATTTGTTCTGGGTAAAAAAAATAAATTGAGGAGAAGAGAAAAAAAAGAAAGAGAGACAAAGAGGGCCATGCATGCATTAAAGATAAAATTCCATGCGTTGTATCCGCCCTATAAGTAGCATAATTGTTGAATTGTATTGTATGTATATGTCAACATATACATATACTGCCCCCCGCCGTGGATGGTGGTGGCCGGTCTGCGCGCAAGGACACACATGATAAACTGAGAGATAAATTCTGTGCCGTACGTCACTCCATGCTCCCCCCTTCTCCCCCAATTTATGTAAAAAAAAAAAAAAAATTACTCCCGTCATCTGAAAGTTAAGAGATTTTATACATTGTTCGAATAATAATGTAAATCATGTAGGGACGGGAGGTGATTTATTAAGAATCAAAATAATGCATTAATGACCATGGGAATTAAATACTCCGTATAGGATTTGATTTGAGACAGAGTCTTTAATTTGATGTACAAAATTCTTGAGTGGGGCTAGGACATATATTAGCCAGCTAGTATAGGTTATTCATTGGTAAGCTAATACATAATTAATTAATTTTTAAGTAATTAATTATATTTGGCAATTGATTATGAAGTGCAGACGGATAAGGCATCTATGCTTGATGAAGTGATAGAATACCTAAAGCAATTGCAGTCCCAAATTCATATGATGAGTAGGATGAACATGCCGCCGGCGATGATGTTTCCGCTGGCCATGCAGCAGCAGCTCCAGATGTCGATGATGGGCCCCGCCGCTGCCGCCGCCATGGGCATGAACATGGGCATGGGCATCGCCGGCATGATGGACATGAACAACATCGCCGCCGCCGGCCGGTCCAACATGGCCGCCGCCATGCCCCAGCTCCTCAATCCTGCAGCGGCCGCTTCTGCCGCCGCTGCATTCATGCCCATGGCCGCAGCGTGGTGGGACCAGGGCTCTGCCGCCGCTGCAGCTGAACGCATGCCAGCTGCAACCCCTTCTCCTGCCCCTGTCATGGCCGATCATCTCGCCGCATTTCTGGCTTGTCAGTCACAGGTATAATTTAAAGAAATATTTGCACTAAATAACACTAAAAATTAAGTCATTTCCCTAAATAGCACTTAAATTGTTTTATTTTCTAAGTAGCACTTAATAATGTTCATAATATCCAATGATGACGAATATTTACCTGAATAATGACTAATGCATAATGACTAAAAGTACTACATTTGGAAGAAAAACACATGTGGTCCTATTTAAGGAAAGTCATTATTTTAGTGCTATTTAAGTAAATTCGTCATAAATTATCTCACATGGAATAAATATATTAGTAGTCAAAGTTTAACATATTTGACTGAAAAGGTCAATTTTTTTAAATAGGTCAAACTTGTTTTTGAGTACATATATATTTTTATAATGGAGAGGATATAAATTAATTTTATGTGTAATTTGAATTGGCAGCCAATCACAGCAGATGCATATACTAGGATGGCAACCATGTACCAGCAGCAATTTCAACAAGCTACTCAGGGTGCTTCCAAAAATTGATTTTTTGTTTTGATTTTTTTTAAATAAATTTGATCCTTCTTAACTTGTTTATTTAGTTGAAGATAATGGCTGTGGTTAAAGAGGATGTAATATATATTTCCTCCATCCCGAATTAAAGTTCCACAATAATTAGTCCATTGCAACTTTAAAAAAGATTACGATGTTTAAAATTATTAAAAAATAGTCTATATTATGAATCAGAAAATATTTTTTATCGAGAAAATTAAAGACGGTGAAGAATTTTTTAAGCAAAAATAAATTAAAGAAGAATTGTGGAACTTAATTTGGAAAATAATAGAGTATATGAATGGGGTAGCTAGGTTGGTACTCTATATGTATCACCTCTAACCACCACTTGATGTTATTATGGATTTTGATAAATTGTACATATTAAAATAGTTATTCTGAGAGAAGTAAATCATAGTATTTTCTCTAAAAGAATTGATTGAATTGTCGACAAATACGAGTATAAGTAAAAACGTAATCGAATGGTATTAATAACAAAATAATCAAAATTAATTAAATAAATACAAATACTAATAATTAATAATTAATGTTTACAAGATACGGAGTAATAATATAATTAAGGAGTAATTGCGAATAATGTCATGTCTTGCAACTTGAATCAGCATCTCGAAATACGGAGTAACAAATACGGTCTCTACATTTTCAACGAAATTTAATTATTACTATATGATTAGTCAACTCAATTAGTATAATCAAAGCTAATTATGGTTGATAGATCATGCAGAGATCTAAATAATTAGTCGAATTATTGGTGCTACTTGAAGATCCAATGTCTTTTTTATTTGTATTATTGAAGCCATTATCAAATGAAAAAAATATATACCCGGCCAATAAAAAGAGAGTAACATGATGAAGACAAAAAGAAAAAGATAACAAAACAAAACAAAAAAAAACTTCTAATAAAGAGCCTGAGCCCTTAGCTAATTATGTGCTCATAAAGGGATGATAGTGAGAAGTATTGGACAAAGAAAAAGTTAAAAGGTTCTCTTAAACATGGGATCATGCATTTAGTTTTGGTAATATTATTTTTGTTATGTTATAGTGTCACAATTTTTCTTGTTATGTTATAGTGTCACATTTTTTCTTGTTATGTTATAGTGTCACAATTTTGCTCAGTTGTGTTTGGTATACAGAATTGAATGATTTGAAATTTAATTAAAAATTGAAATTTTATGATATTGATTTGGATATAATTGAATTCTCCAATTTCAATTCATTTGAATATATCGAGGTCGGTGGAATTTAAATCTCATTGCCCTCTGCAGAGTATTTTTTGAAAGTGTTCCATCACGCGTATTAAATATTGTGAAGTGATACAATTCAAAACTCCCTCCGTGCTACAAAATCTTTCTCCTTTCTCTTTTCATCCGTCTCAAAAAATCTTTCTCATTTCTATTAAAAAATCATTTTTACTCTTACTAATTCTTAACCTGCCTATCACATCATATTTTTTCATTATTAATCTACAATCACATCTACTTTTATCCATCACATCTAAGGGCATTTTTGGAAAGTCAACACTAAAATAAATCCCTTTAAATATTTTAAAAGTCAAAACGAGAAAAGTTTTGTAGGACGAATGGAGTAATAGTTAGTTTTATTAAATAACAAAGGTTTCATTCGTATGTAAAGAGATTACAAGAAATATTCCTAATTAAAATATACGGAGTAATAACAATTATAGTAACAAAAGAATAAGGAAAGTAAATAATAATAATATTCACAATAATCTCCTCATATCATTATAAGAAGTGAAATTTGCACTAAATAGGACTAAAACATAATGACTTTCTTAATGTAGGACTTAAATTTTTTTATTCTCTAAATAGGACTTAATAATGACCTTGTCGAAGGAATAATGTCCAGTAACGATGGACATTTAGTTGAATAATGACTACTTGATAATGACCAAAGGTCCTATATTGGGAAATAAAAACATATGGTCCTATGTTGGGAAAGTCATTATGTTTTAGTCCTATTTAAGTAAATTTCTCTTATAAGAAATCGCTCTAGTGTTTTTCAATTGTTTAAAACCACTCTCTCCATTCACCTTCGCACACTCTCAACCCTTTTCTTCTACTACGCTTCTCAATTTTATTCTCTTTTTCTTCATTCTCACAATGATTCTTACGCCTAGAAGAAGAAGAGCCCTCGACAGAGATCGAATCGGTATTTGTTGATATATTTTATCTCGCACTACAAATTAATTACACTCTTTTTATAATATCATTTCATTTTTTATCAAACTAATGTGTAGGTGACCACGACTGATTAGTTGTAAATTATATTTTTGAAAATGAGTTATTCACCGACTTAAAATTCAAGCGGAGATTTCGTATGCATTGTTGTCTTTTCCAAATTTTCTATGATGAATTGTGAGTGATTTGGCGGGTGAAACTCCGATCCTTTTTTAGAGTTGCAACGTGATGCCCGATAGAAAGTTAGGTTTACAACGTTACAAAAGACCCATTGCACACCGAAAGACGTGTAAGCGTTATACGTCACCCACCATGCCTAACATAGATTTCTCAACATGTTAGGCAGTAATGATTAACGCACGGTGATCATGGCCACCCCATAGTGTTGTTTGAGGCTGTAGCCTCTCATGATCTTTGGATATGGCATGCCTTCTTTAGGCAGGCTGTTTGAAACAATGATTTAAATGTTTTAGGACAGTCTAATATATTCAACGAAATCATACAGGATACCGAATCAGACACTTCTTTCACTTTTTCTTAGGTAGAGCACAAGCATGAGTATTATCTTGTCAGTGGTATTTACCCAGACTACGTGGCTATACCCAAAACTATATCGTTCTTTGAGGATCCAAAGAGAAAGAAATTCGTTAAATACCAGGAATCAACAAGCAAGGACTTGAAACATTTATTTCGTGTGCTCGAGCAGAAATGACACATTGTGAAAAACCCAGGGTGAGCTTCCACACACAAAAATTTACAGAAATGTTATGTACGCTTGCTAGCTACATCTTACAAAGTACATAACATGATTATCAAAGACGAAGGGCGTGCGATATGCGAACACGACGCAAATGATCACAATGATAATAATGTTGAACCAGCTGATGTAGCACAACAAGATCTCAACATGTTTGTGTCACAAATTAAAACACGCATGCGCACCACAATCTTTGTGCAAATTTGGTTGAGCATTTGTAGAATTTTGTTACTCCATCCACTTCTTGACGATGAATACTCCCTTCGTCCCAGAGTATTTGTCCACTTTCATTTTTACACACCATCTAATGCACTTCTTTAATCCATTTTATCTTGTAACTTGTATATTAAAAAATTATAGAAATTATATATTAATAATCTACGGAGTATATGTTAAGACAAATCAAACAAGATCACACATGACTATATTTAGGCTTACACATTGAGAGAATTTGATGAGTCAAAGTGCTTAGATGAACAGTTTCAAAAGTCAAAAGCGGACGAATATAGCGGGACGGAGGTAGTACTTTTTTAAACCTTTTTAATAGTTGTACTTTTTTTTATTTTACCTTTTTTATTGCATTAATGTAGTTTTAATTTTAATAAATTATTTATTTAAATTTTTTTATTTTAAGTAAATTTTGTTTTAAAAATATTTAAAAAGGAAAAAGTTGGGTTGATCCACACCCATGTCCAGTAATGGGCTGTGATGGAGAGAGAAAAGTGATGGGCAACAACACACCTACCTGCTTAATTAAGTGTTACACTTTCTCATTTTACTTTACGAGGTTTGGTTGAAGTTATATATGCTCAATTCAATTTATATGATTATACGTTTAAAATAAAAAAAATATACGGCATCAGAAGCTTTATAATTATGCGAATAATAAGTGAGAATTTTTTTAAAGGATGAATCAAGATAGACTAGAATCATTCATAATAAAGAATGAGCCTCATCCCTGAGACTCGATCGAACGATTACTAAAAATAAGTAAGTTAGATTTTAATTACAAATTGGTGACAAATTCATTTATACATTTATACATAAAGAGGGGGGAGGGGGCTTTAATGGTGAAAGGGACACATAAAACATGCAATGTCGGCCAACTTACCCACACAAATGATTGTATTATTCACTTTGGTTAGTCTACTCATGTTCCACACGCTTTGTACGTAATACTCCTTCCGTCCCTAAATATTTGCCACATTTGTATTCCCGAGGCAAAATATCAAGTTTTTTCAATTCATTTTATTTACATATTGGTATAGAAATAAAAAATAAAATTTACATATCAAAAAACTACATGAAAAGTTCTTCGAAATAAGATGTGTCAAGAATATTTTATTTTATCAAATAACCAATGAAAACGTAGAAATAAACAAAAGTTCCCGCGACTGCTGAAAAAGCAAATGTTGTGAATATTTTGGGACGGAGGGAGTATAATGTTTTGACGACACTCCGCCCTACTCTACATACTACCATCCGGTACGTACCTTTCTACGTACCTTCTTGAATTAGGGGCTGTTTGGCAATTTCTGAATCAGTAAGTGCTGAACCAGTAAGAGGTCTGAACCATTAAGTGCTGAACCAGTAAGAGGTCTGAATCATTAAGAGCTAGTATATTGCTTAACTATTCAGAGGCAAATGTCTGATCAATTCAGATAAGAGATCTTAACCATTCAGACTCTGTATAATACTTAACCATTCAGAGGCAAATCTCTTAACCATTCAGACATCTGAACCATTAAGAGGCTGAAACAAACAGTCTGAACCATTAAGTGTTGAACCATTCAGACATCTGAATCATTAAGAGGCTCCTTAGTAGATGTTGTTCTGACGACAACGTTATAGATTTGTGTTAATGTTTTAAAAAAATTTATGAAACGACAATATTCATAAGTACGGAGTATTACTTTCTTCTTTTCAGAGTCTTCGTCTAATTTGACATTTTCGAATCAAACTCGACAAACTTTAATCAGCAATTACTCTCGATCAATTTGTGTTTTTCGAATCAATTACTCTCAAATTTTGACTCCAAAGTAAAAATCAACTTGGGGGGGTGAAATTGAAGGGGATGGGGGGAGCGTGTTTGGGTNGGGGGGGGGGGTTTACCGGAGTGGTAGGAAACGTCAATTTTACGAACGGAACACCGGAACACCTCCGAACCAATGTCATGGGAACCGGCCTCAATTTCAATATATAATGTCAAAACATATTGCTAGATTACAATACATAATACGGAGTACCAAATTGTAGCACTAGCAATGCCAACACTTCTACTTAAAATATAAAAAACATTTATTGGAGGCACAATAAGGGCCGATTTTCCATGACATTGGGGGAATGACCCGGGGTGCTCCGGTACCCTGTTCGTAAAATTGACGGTTTCTACCCCCTAACTCCTCTGGGTAACCCCCCTCCCTTCCACCCCATTCCGTCCCGAACACACCCTCCACCCCCTTCAATTGCACGCCAAGTTAATTTTGACTTTGGAGTTAAATTTTGACCTTCAAAGTCAAAATTTATTTGGGGGTGCAATTGAAAGGAGTGGGGAGGAGTGCATTTGGGTCGGGAAGGGGTAGGGCAGTATACCGAAAGGGCTAGAGGGATAGAAATCGTCAATTTTAGGAACGGGGCACTGGAGCATTTCCGCGTCACCTCATGACATTGATTCCCAATGTCATGATAACTAAGGGGATGTCCAAATAGATTTGTCAATACATTAACAAATAAAGTCATAATGACTAAAAAATTTAAAATACTTACTCATGCATTATGTCAAACATGTCATTGCATAATAACAATAATTTATTACGTGAAATGTCAAAAAACATCACCATGCAATGATCCCAAAATTCGTTTTGAAGTGCCAACATTGGGAATTGAATGATGAAAAAGCACCACAACAATGTCAAGAAACATTGGGATTTGACCACCCTTGATGTCGAATTACGTATCACAAGGCCAATAGCTAGAGACAATTTAATTTTAGGGGTTCGGTCCTATACACCATTTTTTAAAAATATACTACATCCGTTTCTCAAAAGAGTTCATCTTTTGACTTTGGAGGAAAATAAGGAAGTGTTAAATTGTAGTTGACTTTTCAATTTTGCCCTTATTGTGATGGGTAAAAATAAGATGTGATAGTTTAGTTGTTAGTGAAAAAGTATGATGTGATAGGTAGGGTATGAGAAAGTAGAGGTAAAAGTGGTTTTTTAATAGAAATGGGAAGTATTTTAAGAAAAACAAAAAAAATGAAAAAGGAAGGGTTTTAAGAAACGGAGGGAGTAGGATTTATAGTGTACTTATAAAGGTTTGGATGAAAAATACACACTTTATGAAAAAAATAAATAAAGACTCATGGTGTACTTTTGAAAGTTTAGGAAAAAATAATGTGATGTACATTTTATAAAGAATTTGGAGGTAAAGCACACCGAGGGTAAATCGGTAGTTTATGAAGAGTTAGTTCCGGGACAAATAACAAAAGAAACTCTACATAACTGTATATTTTTATACAAAAATTATGGTACATTTTTTAAATTTTAATTTATTGTGTACTTTTATACATAACTAGTCAAATATTAGGGGTAAATTTCACTAATGGTACCTGAACTTTAGCTGGAATTTCGAAGTGGTACCTGAACTTCAAATCCTTTCACAAAAATTCCTGAACTTACACAATCCTTTCACTAATGAGCCATTAGCCCGTTTCTAGGTTAACTTCCGGTCATTAGGGCCAAATTCGAATTTTATATATTTTAAAATTTTCAATTTGACCTCATTTCTTCTTTTCTTTTCTTCCAGGCCCCGCCGCCGCCGCCCGCCGGTCAAAGTCGCCGGAAAATGAACTTTTTCCGATTCCGGCGGGACCAATGTCATTCTCTTCGTCTTGAGACGAGGATCAATAATATCTAAACTATTTTGTCTAATTTTGCCTGTAACTTCTCGAATCTGAATTTTTCTACTCGAAAAAACCCTAAAATCGAAATTGGGTCCAAAATGGGGGGTTTTGCAAATCGTCAACAAATCTTGCAATTGAGGGGTCCTTGGAGGTCGCCGGATGCCACGACCGCATTGGAGTTGGTTCCCGCCGTCAATTTCGCCGGAGTTGGCCAGAAAACGCTCCGACCCGCCAGAGTTGGCCGGGAAACACTTTAAAAAAGAATGAAGGGAGTATTCATTTTCTCTTTTTAATTAGCTGTCATCGTGAAAAAAATGGGGTGAAGATTATACATTGTGACTAAATTTAATTTAGATTGAACTACATGAATGACCAAAATTAAATGTTTCTAGTCAAGCCTTTCTACAGATTTAATTTTTGGTGGACCAAAATTGGTTTTTGTCTTGAAATCAGAAACAAGAAGATGAGGACCGCAGAATTGAATGAGGCTATGAATGACTTATACTCCCCGCACCTAAATGATTTATACATTTTACAAGAATTTTTTTTATTTCTGTGTTTTCGGTGACCATTTGATGAAAAAATATATATTCTTGCCACCTCTTGTATTGTAGAACTTTTGAATGTATTTTTTAAATATTTAATTTTGTTTTTTATTTATATACTAATCTTTAAATAAAATGATCGAAAAAACTTAGAATTTTTACTTCATTTTGCGTAAAGAGTAAGTGGTTTAGGGGCATATAGTATATGTTTTTGTCTAATCAGTAGTACGGAGTACAGAGGATTATAATTTTTTTTAAGGGTAGATTATAGAGTGTTGTTTAACACGTGAAAACAAATAGGAAAATTACAAAAAAACGTGTAAAAGAACAATATTTTTATGGGAATATACTTAAATAGAATTTAAGCATAATAACTTTCTTAATATAGAACCCGGCCCGGTTCTAGTGATACCGGAGAACGGTGCCACTCCGATGCCATTGTGTTTTTGGTGTACCTCCGGTGTTCCGTTCGTAAATTGACGGTTCCTACCCTCCTAACCCACCCTCTAAACCCCCCACCCTACCCCCACCCCTGCACCCCCACCCCAACCCCGCCGTAAACCCCCCACAAAATGTGTGGCTATTATGCATAATAGCCACACATTTTGTGTGGGGCTTACGGCGGGGTTGAGGTGGGAGTGCAGGGGTGGGGGTAGGGTGGGGGGCTTAAGGGGTGGGTTAGGGAGGATAGGAACCGTCAATTTTACGAACGGAGCATCAGAGATGCCTCAAAAACGCAGTGGCACCATTTTCCAGTGTCACTAGAACCCCACCGTATAGAACCATGTATTTTTATTTCTCAATGTAGGATTATTGGTGATGATCCATTATTCATTGTTCAAGTAAATATCCACCATCACTGGACATTATTTCTCTCATTAAACATTATTTAGTCATATTTACAAGAAAAAAATGTTTAAATCCTACATTAGAAAATGATTTATGTTTTAGTCTTATTTAGTGCAAATTTTTCTTTTTTACAGAGTACTTAGTATAAGCATTTGGACATTTTTTCCAAAATGTGAAAATTAATGTAAAACGAAACTATGTTTTCTCTATTCGACTTTTCATGATCCCAATTTCATAATTTTGATCAATAATGCATAAATCTATACATAGGTCATGTTTGAAAATACTATTTTCAATTAATGTTTGAGTTTTGAATACTTTTTTAGTCATACTAGAAACCTAACGATAGACACCATCATTGTCAACTCTGAGAGTATTTCAAAATGAATTCACTTGTTTTAAATTCATATTGGAAATATTTTATGCATTTTTAAGAATATTTGCGCGTATTATATATTACTCGTGACTTTTAATAAAGGTATATCCTGTGCCATTTTTTGAAACATTTTGAAATAGAATTTTCGACCTTATGTCGAGATCTGAAGGAGCCTTGCGGATGGAACTCATCTTTTTTTGAAATAGGGTTGCCATTCTCTTTTAAACGATAGTCCGTATAAAAGTGTGGTTAATATTATTTTTTTAAACTTCTGTAGAAATTTTAAATGGATAATTTTATTTCCTTTTTATAATTTCACAGAGCTAAAGTGAAATTCAATACATAGAGGGAGGAGAAAGTATTTATGTTGATTTGGGACTACCTAGAGACATTTTAAATCCATCAAGAATATTAATAAATATATAATAAAAAAAGTGTCATCTTGTACTCTTCAGATCAGAAACCATATGCACTGTTTTATATTCTGTATTTATAATCATGTCAATTCACCAAAAAAATGACGTTTTTATTTTTGCCCAAAATCATCATTTCAAATATTTACACCTAGCCTTTGGTAACCAATAATTTTTACTTTTCAACTTTATAAACTAGATCGGTTTTTTTACCAACTTTTTACTTCCCAGTAATATATATACTCACTGCATCCCTAAAAAAATTACCACAATTTGATTTTTTTTTATTAAACTAGGACACCCTTGAACCGTAAATTATAAAAAAGTATATTTAGCTATAAAGTAAATTTAGTAAAATTAGAATTAATTTAAAATACAGTTTTGGAATATCAAATTTTTATACTCCGTAATATTTAATTATTTTAAACAATATTTAAGTCAGTGGTAAAGAGTGTTAGTAGTCAGCTCTCCGACTGTTGACGAGGTTCCTGACGAATTCGCCTTCCTCGCTCACGTCTTTTTCCCAGTCTTCAAGGAAACGCCTATATGACTCATCATAGGCCACCACCTTGCGCAGGCAATTGATAGCTTCATATTTGCTGCCCTCTTCGTACAATACACTGCAATTCATGCTTTCTTGTCTTAGTCATACTCCCTCCGCATTTCACAATATACATTAGATTTTGAATGAATGTAGACACACGTATGTCTACATTCATTCAAAATCTAATGTATCTAGTAATCTTTAATAGACAGTCATTGTGGAAAGAGGGAGTATATACATACAGATGTTTGGCTAAAGTTACTTTTGAGAGAAGGGGTAACTTTATGTCACATCAAGTCGTGTAAGATCATGACAGCAAGTAATTTGGGGAACCTACAGTGCTTTGTTTGTAAATTTGATGGGACCTACCCCTCATACCCCGTCATAAATTTCCACCATGACCACTCTATCCCCGGCAATTGCACCCAAAGAAGTTTGGTTGACTCTTTGGTCAAACATTTGACCAAGAAATTCAGCATAACTTTTGAGACTTGGCAAAACATGTGGCACTACACCCCAACATGAGCTTACTCTCATATTTATGTATAGGGAATAGAGTAAAATGAGAAGGGAGTTGAGAATACCTTGAGAATGCTACCAAGGCCTCATAGTAGTTAGCTTTTGTGTTTGAATCTTGTGGCTCTTTCATCTTTGTTATTCTGTGTAGGTGTATGATACCCTCATCAAATTTCCCCTGCCCGGAGAGAGAATCAGTTTAAGAAATGAGTTTAAAATGCCAAATAAGTACTTCAAACCAGTTTTTCAACCATTCATGCCAACAATACTCATATCGAAAACGAAGGGAGCATTTATGAAGAAGGCCAATTTAATAGACTCCATATTCTTAAATCAACAAAAAAGATTAGTCAAGTTAAACAAGATTGTCATTAATTACCTGCCGGGCATAAGCTACACCTGCCCATACAGATGAGAGGATCAAAAGATTAACATCCTCAACTCCCGTCGGATGCCCATTTTGCAGCAGCTGGATACAATTTACACACAATGGAATTGGTCACAAGTGACAAAAACACATGCATGCAGATTTAGCCACACTAACCAAAACAAAGACCTACTCCCTCCACTCCATATTAACCGTATAATAAGACATTCTCGATACATTAAAAAGCAAATGAATGTAGACACGCTTTATGTTTACATTCATTCATTTTTCAATTTACCAAGAATGGCTTATTAGATACTCCCTCCGTTTCTTAAAACCCTTCCTCTTTCATTTTTTTTGTTTTTCTTAAAACACTTCCCTTTTCTATTAAAAAACCACTTTTACCCCTACTTATTCATACCCTACCTATCATATCATACTTTTTCACTAACAACTAAACTATCACATCTTACTTTTACCCATCACATCAAGGGCAAAATTGGAAAGTTAACTACAATTTAACACTTCCTTTTGAGAAAGTCAAAAGAGGAACCGTTTTGAGAAACGGAGGGAATAGTTAATATGAAATTGAAGGAGTATAATTTTAAACCTTAGATATAGCACGCTCCAAGTATTCAGTAGCTTCTGTTAAGTAGCCATAGTGCAATAGTGCCTGGCCTAGAACAGCCAGAGCTGTGATCTGCTCGGGGTCCTTGTTAAGAGCTAGTCTGTAATTATGCTAGCAAATGAATCATGACCACAAAGAAAGGGAAAAACACAAACAAAATGAAGGCCAACCAATTTTCAGGAGTACTAGTTACCGCAGTAGTGGAAGAGCAACATCTTTCTGACCATCTTCTAAGAATTTGGTTGAAAGCTGGTTTAGGTTTCAAAACTATTACTTTCAGGGTTTGTACTAAAAATACAGGAGGAACATTTTGAAATGATAACTTACTCCAACCATTTCTGAAGGGGATGGATTCTGAGCAAGTATCTCACACAACTCCCTTGACATGTCTATTTCCACTACTGCAGAGTTATCTTTCTGTTCGGTGTTTAATCCAGAAGCAACCGGACCAGGTAGGCCCAACCTCATGCATACAGCCGGATGGTTTAAAGCTATTTGCTTTAGATCAAAATGTTAAGAGAGAACTTAGTTCCTGATATAAGGACTTGTCAGCACAGATAAAAGGTTTGTGGGATTCTGTTCCATGTAGTACGAAACTGCCTAATCTCAGGAGCAAAATTTACTATACTGTATTAATAACCAAGTAACCAACACATGAGTAAGGTCCCTATTGAGAGAGCATAAAAATATAAAATTGTAGAAGAATGCCTTATAAGAGATGTGAAGGTCTATGAGCTAAGCCATAGACATTTTTCCCAAGCTAATGTCTCCTCATAAAACATGAATCATGCTTGTAAATTCTTAAACTTCTTTGTAGGTTTAACTAAATTTATCAAATGTAACTTGGGACTTTTTTTTGTTTCTATTTTAAGCAAAGTATGTTACCCCCTTTATCCCAAAAATTTTCAACAGCGACCGACGCGCAAAGTGACTTCCCTTTTTGGTATGTCCCATTTCCTTTTTTTGCAAGGAATATGTGGCTATCATTATTTCTCTCTTTCAAATCAATTCCATTCACATTTTTCACTTTTCAACATCTTAAACTTCATATGTAATCAAATTGACTTATTAAGTCAGTCAAGCCCATTGGTAACTTCTTGACTACTTTTTTTTTGGTTAAAAAGAGCCCATAGTTCAATTACCCTTTGCATCAAAGTTTAGAATATGTCTAAATTTATGACCATGAGTTCCAGAGATTAGAGATACCTGAAGAAGACTCAACGAGCTATTTGTAACCCAACATACTAAGCTCCCCTGCAAAAGAGGAAGGAAATGTAAAAGTGCTATGAAGTCCATTGCAAAAATACTACTGTTCAAGAGAGTATGTGCCATTTGCATAGACTATCTATCGATACTAATGTCTTATTTGATTAGGTGTCCATCATCAACAAGACAAAGTGTGTGAGGTAATATGCAAGCTAAATGCTCCGTACTCCCTATAATAATAATAATAAAACCCAAATCGATGAAGCTTAATAAATGATCTGAAATTGTTGGAATAAAAGTTTCTAGAAATTTGTGGCTTGTATAGTGTTTATCACAGAGAACGGAAGAGGACCTATTTGTATAGCACTATAGTGATAAATATGGCTTGAGGTTAAGTTGTCTGCCTTTTTGTACACAGTTGGTACACTCCGTCTGAGATTTTCACCCAGGTACATACCAACTGCACACTGACCAAATTATGCCAAACCAATTGCTGATTCCATCATATCCTTTTTATTCGTTTTTTCCGTTTCTAGAAGAGAAGTCCAAAAAACTCATTAAAGTGATACCTCTGCGTCGTCTTGGGTGAGATAATCCATTTCAGTTCATCCTCCTGCTAATAAATCACTAAACAAGCAGGTCCACTTCCTTCTCTGTGACAAACCACTACACAATCCACTATTTTTCTAGAAACTTTTATTCCAACAATTTCCGATCATTATTAAATTTCACTCATTTGGATTTTTTGATTAGGTGTCCATCATCAAGTAATATAAGCCTAGTCTGAGAACAATGGGAATACAATGCTAATGAGCTAAGTGGTGGACATTTTTAGTTGGCTGTCTAAGGTATGAGGTTGCAGTATGACTTCGAGATATGAGGTCGCCACAATGACCTCACAGTATGACCACATAGGATGAGGCCAAAGTGCCAAACCTGTAAGGGAGGTTGACCTTGTATGATGAGGTTGGCTCTATATAATGAGGCCGACCTCATTATACGAGGCAAAGATCGTCCTAGGATGATGATAGTTCCTTCATTAGCCTTGATTCTGGAAGGACCCATGCCTCTTGGACGTGGCTCAAGCCTATAGATGATAGAAGTATAGAATGAAGGCGCCAGATCTAAGTCATCCAACACATCCATCGCTAATTGTTTTTAATTAAAAAAAGGGAAGCATTTTTCATTTTTCCTATGCGTGCATTTGAAATGCTATGCAAGTCTTCACAAAGTATTTTCTTGAGATTTTATTCAAAATTTCAAATACTTCATATCTATTTTATGTTGGAAACAAGGTAGGACCATTTGTGGTTCTATTGGCTTATATGCAGTTCTATTTAAGATATGGCAATGAATGAAAAAATATATTTCACTATGCTACAAAGAAGCTTTAAACTTTGGTAGTTTTGATGTGTTAGAGTAAAACATTTCCTGGTCCTACAACCAAAAGCTCAAGCTTTTGGTTGAGTCGAGATCATGAATTCGAAACTCACCGTCACCCAATTTTAAAATTAATGTTCACATGCAAGACTCCAGCAAAAACAAATCTCGCCTGCACGTGAGGGGGAGTGTTAGAGTATAAAACCTTTCCTGATCCTACAACCACAAGCTTTAGCTTGTGATTGTGTCGATTCCTTGAGATGATGCAAGATGAGCTACATAACACGCCTTTTGTTTGACTAACGAATATCAACAATTCCATGCAAATTTTTGTTTAAAGAATGAAAAGATGAAATAAACAAATCCAGATGGCAAGAGCTTTCAACCACCTCCATCAGACCATCACAATGTAGCACTTGAAAAATGAGGCAATATGAAGAACTCAAAATCCACTAAATTCAAAGCAAGATGATTTTTAAATGCAAAAAAATATTTTCAAAATAATAATAATGTGTTCGTTCAATATAATCGGTATTCTGTGTGTGTGTGTATGTTTACAAAGCTGCCCCCATCATTGACACATATACTCCACCATTGTTCAAAGCTGACACCTCAAGTTGACATTAAGGTATTGTGGGGTCCAATTGTAAGAAAATGAATTACTAAATCTGTCCCAACTTAAAGTACCCATTTACTTTTCCACGGAGTTTAAGAAAAACTGTAATTGTGTGGTTTATATTTATGCAGGGGAGAGATAAATAGTATGAGTTATTCAATGCTTACAAACAAAAAAAATGAGTGTGTGAGAGGATTAAGTAATACTAATGATGGAAGTCAAATTTGAAGAAAATGAATCTATAAATACCTGGGGGATATAAAATGCAATGAACATTGTTGGCAGCATCATAATTTCCAGATATAACTTGTAGAACTGTGTCAAGGCACACACATATACATTTGTCAGCATTCATGCAAGCTTCACCATGAAATAAATATCACTCGATTGCATATTGCATGTCATATTTTTCATTTGATAGTCTAACTAAGTCTTCTATGTGTTTTTGACATTTTCCTATAATTTCTTTGTTATACTTCTTACTTTGCATTTAATATAAATATGAAAAATAATATAGGATTTTAAACTATAATCAGCTGAAGTGAGCAATATTAACCATTGGACAGACCAAATGATAAAATGTGATGGACAAATATCTCAATGCCTACACGTGCACAACTCACTGCCTCAAGAACTGAACACAGCCAGCCCTTGTTTGAATGAAATTTTGAAAAATAAATGGCTTTGAATAAAACTTTTGGTGTACTTAATCTCCTTTGTCCTCGATTCATCATCTAAGTTGCTCTTGCACACTTATTAACAAAATGAAATAAGTGGTTGAAAATTGAGATAGGTTGAGAAAGGAAAGAAACAAAAATGAGTTAGCAACCACATTATTCTTTCCTTCAAAGGAAGGGGAAGATAACTTGGGGATAGATGAAAATTTAAAGAGGGATGCTAATTATAGGGTGAAAAGAGTATCATATTTTGAAGCACACTTTTTAGGGGGCACGTGGTTTAGAGAAGTTTGTTTGGTATGTGGCCAAGCTTATTTGAGAGTTTAGAGTTTGTTCCAATTAAGCCATTAGTTCTACTTGGTAAATATTGCTCACTTTGTCCCGCAAAAAGGTTCCACAATGAAATTGGCACAATTAATAAGAGAGGTGAAATTGCCCATTGGACAGAGCAATATTAACACATTTTCCTCTGAGAAAATCACACGAAACACGTAACTAGCACACATTACTATTGCGTTCACACTAACAAACAAAGTTAGCACCTTGGCCAATTCGCTCATATTCCCGATGGATGCATTCCGATAGGAAACCTGAAAGGTAGATTAAATTAACATTCAAAAGCATATCATCCAAAGCAAACCAAACTAGCTGTGAAAACTAATGAGAACATAAGATCTCGTCTTACACAACAAACAAATAAACAACAAACCAGCTTTTATTGAATACATGCTAGGTCATATTTTGACTTCTAAAAGAAACTCCTTAGAGCCCCTATCTAGAAATTCACTAAGCTGGCCCTCTGATAATTGATACTGTTTTTAAAAAATGTGCATTTACTTTGTCAATATTGTCATGGAAGTAATGTAAACCACAAATACCTTAATATTAGCAAAATACAAGCCCGCAACCAGTAAAGGGAATATGGGGCCTAAAGTACCATTTGGGAGTTCTGTCAAATTCTGGAACCACAGAGTTCCACCCTGCACCAATGGCAAAAAGGAATAGTTCATAAACATTATAATATGGGCAAAATAAAAGCCCTGCGCCAACTTCAACAGGCACAAAACAAAAAGAAACACATTGGCTATTTTCTTATAGTGTAGGTTTTAGAAACAAAAAGGTTGGCCTGGTTATGGAGTTTGTAAAACAGTTCATACCTTAAAGATAAACTTGATTAACGGAGTAGATTAAAGATGTCAGAAGAACGATTATCAATTTGCTTAAATTTTTACAGAGCTTGTGGTTTTCATTAGAGACTAAAAACTCACAGACTCAGCCAAACTCAGGCCTTGATGAAGGCATTCCAAATAAAATAGTTCATACATCTAGTCAAGCGATGTATCTAAACTTATGGGCCTTACACAATTAAAGCCATCATGACAATCAAGTGACATTCTTCTTATAGTTGTGAGCCATAGCAGGAAATAGGGCACCTGTGAAATGGAGGCTATCATAAATTTTGACTGAATATGCATGCACGCACACAAGCATACTATATGAGATGTTAATTAATTTAAATGTATGAGAACATACAGTAGATTGTGCATATACTGACACGCACGCACACACACACACACACATACTTGAAAAATTAAGTTGGCACATGCCAGAGTATGTAACAATTGAGTGAGAAGAAAATCATAGAGTAAAATATTTGATGAAACTGCAACTTTTAGCAATTTACTCAATACAAGCCAAGCAATTCAAAAATTTAAAGTGATATACAAGCTATCACTCTAAAGTTCATTACTGAACGTGGATAAGTCAATTTGTTAAGATATGAACCGCATCAGACATCCACAGATCACATGATAGCTTGTCTAAATGGCAAAGAGTAAATATGAAAAACAACATTATCCTCCACAGGCATTGCAGAAAATAGTTCCCAAAATAGACATACCACTATAAACAGTACATGATTTCGTATTACACCTATAATGGAATGTGCTTCCAAATTGTTAGATGTTTGAGGAACACCACACAAAATGTTATTTCAAAAAAAAAATTATAATTGAGCTTCTTAGAGGGAGTGCGAGGAATGTATAAAAGCAATTACGGAGTATAATAAATAAATCATAAAATTATAAACAAAAATACATCGTTAGCTAGTCGAACAGATCTAGTTAGTGAGATTGATAATTCAATCACTACTATCCTTTCAAAAAATAACTATGTAGCAATGGCAACCATGCTCTCTACTTCAATTTCATAATATTTGATAATGTGAATAAATATGCACATTATGAGTGATTTCAAAACCTATGCTTTTCAGCTAGACTTCACAGCATTTGCCATGCTTTTTGTGCTCAAGTTAATAAGAAACAAATACACACAAAAAGAAAATAATTCCACAAGAAATTATTTCAGCTGTCTTAAGAGAATGGGTTCAACCGGTTCATTAATCTGTCACCTGGATAAAAGCAGCAATAAACCATACAAATGAAGGGCATCCCGCGGTACGTTTTTCTCTCATAAAGAATTTTATCTGGTCTTTCAAACTCCTTCGTAACTTGTTCTGTGGCAATGGAGGGGGCACTTGAGGAGAGGAAAAATAATAATGAGAACCCATTGCCTTACTTTAGATCTTTATCATAATGTTGAGAGAGACCCTAAGCATATTAAATACTTGAAGTAAAGGTTCAATAGTTTATGAAATACTCCACATGTCCCATTTTATAGGTCCCATTTGCTCTGTGCACACTTATATGAAGGAAACAAACAATCTTTGATGAGTTTACCTATTTTACCCTCAAAAGTGCGTTTTGTCAAAAACTGTGCATATACCTTAACATGTAAAATCAAATTAATCAATAAAGGGTAAATTAAAAAAATTAAAAGTTCTAGGAGACCAGAAAGTGCAAATAATTGTGGGAAAACTAATATAGAGGGGGGACATATAAAATGGGATAGAGAGATTAACATTTATAATAAGTCGCAAGCTTTTCAAGTGAAGGTCACATACTCCTGCCTTCTAACCGTGCATTTGCAAGAAAAACTATATTGAAGAAACCTAGATTGGCTAGATTTCATATCACTTATTTCTGTCCTAGGAACTTCTTGTTCTATTGCCTAGCTAATTAAGAATGATGATAAATCATTATGCAAATACAAAGACTCACATTTGGGTAATATCTCTCCAATCGTCCTAATCTTGTGTATTAGCAGTATTATGAATGGAAATATTGTAAGTCGCATAGCTAGTGTCCCAGAAGCAATGATCACCCACCTACAAAATTAAAGAACTACTATTGCATGAATGAAATATCAAAGTGGTTAGAAGTCTTTAGATGATTTTTGGATTATTGCAACAACACAAATTATTGAAAATTGATTAACAAATGCAAAATTCAAAATTCAGAAGATAACAATTCATGGAGTTGTAATTTTTTCCACTCACCAAGGGAGCCCTGTGAGATCATGGTAGCCATTGAGCAACGAAATTAAACCGCCAATCGGAAGAAACAGTTCTTCAAAATTTTTGCTATCAAGCACGCCCCCGTCAATGAGAGACCATGTAGAGGGTTGGGCAGCCAGAAAGTTGTCATCTTTGAGAGGGAAGTCTGCTACAGAGGCGGAATAGCGAGTGGAGAATGAACGGACGGAGGAAATAACACTGAACGGCGCTTTAAGTTGTGGAGCGGAGTCTAGAGAAAATGGCAGTCCCAGGCGGCAGAGAGAATGGTGCACCTTCTGCCGGTGATTGGAATTACGGGATTGGGTGGTAAAGGTGTACGAAAAGAGGGATGAAACGGAGAAGGATTGGCGGCGGGGAGAGATTCGCTGTCGCAAGAATACCCGCGCTGCCATTTCTAGTTCAGATGAAGAGTTGTGCTCAGCTCCCTATCACCAATCAGCTCCATATAGTCAAACAAGTTTACTGGCATGAAATAGGTGAATGAGATGCTTGTAGCCCAAATAATATGGGTTAAAACCATAAAAGGTTAAAATCTCTTGGGCCAGGCCCGTTATGTATTTCTATGATGTAAATGCTTTGTTAACTAGTCTATGAGAAGCATTTCGGGCCCATCTATTCAGGCCTTTTTTATGTGTAAAGACAAGTACAATTTCTATGCTTTTGTGGGCTTAAACATGTTGTGGACCAGGCCTTTTTAATGGGTCAATGACCTTTTTTTACTTGTTGCATTATCATATTCAAGTTGAAGTGGTAAATTGTTCCCCTTTCTTAAACAGTTAAACTACATCCCTTTCTTATCCACCTTGCTTTTAGACGTTTTAAAAATCCATTTTATACTTATCTAACTTATTTTAATAATAATGAATATTTTAGGTACGTTCTTCGGCTTGCTTCTGGTGGAACGTTCAAATCCAAACACAAACAAATTCAAATTATATACGAAGTATTTTTTTTATTTTTCAAAATTTTTATTTATAAGTTAAACTGGTAATTTATTTTGAAACGAATAAGTGTATAATACTCGCAATATCCCATGTGCTCTTTACCTACATCTAGGACCATCAACGTATGCTTCCCAGGCTATTTGACAGAATCTGTGGCAAATATTATGAACAGCTCCTAGGCAGATAACCACAACATTGTGTTGCACGTGGGGAATCTAGAACTGCACAGAGAAGATACATACATACATACATATATATATATGGTGATGAAGACGAAGGTGAGAACTGAGAAGAAAGATAGGGGAATTGCTTGAATTGAATAAAGTATAATGTTTGCTTGAAGGAGTCAATTAAAAGCTGTTCAGTTATTGAACAGACAGGGGAGAGGAGATTATGATGAATTGCTTGAATTAAACAAAGTATAATGCTTGCTTGAAGGTGTGAATTGAAGAAGAGAGGGCTTTTCAGTTCTCACCTTCGTCTTCATCCCCATCTATATGTACCTTCTCTGTGCAGTTGTAGATTCCCCACTTGCAACACAATGTTGTGGTTATCTGCGAAGGAGCTATTCATAAAATTCATCACGGATTCTGTCAAAAAGTCTGGGAAGCGTATGTTGATGGTCCTAGATGTTGGTAAAGAGCACATGGGATACTCCATAATATACCCACATCAATCTTGCTTCATGCTGCCCATAGCTCTGACGGATTCGTCTCTTTTGTTTAATCCATATTGCACAGACGGAGGCCTCCGTTGCCGATGGGAACACCACCTCCGTATTCTGTTTTACCTTTAATTTTAAATTCTACTCCATAGTTTCTCCCCCAGATTTAATCGAAATTTATTTGGTAGGGCTTTTTGGATGGGGAAGGACGAGGCCCATTTCCGAGCTCTTCTCAAACGGGTTCGTTGGAGTTTAATTTTTATGCCTATTTTTGACCGATTCTGATTTTGGAATCTAAGTTTCAAGATCCAATTATTCTTTTGAACTGGAACCTTGTTCGACCCTAACATTTTGCATGATGTTTTTTATCCCCAAACCTTGGCGATAGAATCCCAATAACCAACAATAAAATTCCAATAATGTTATTTATACACAACTTTTGAAAACTATGGCTTTGTCATAGCAAAATTTTTACACTGACATTTTGTGTTAGTGTAAACTATAAAAATGTTAGTGCAGAATTATAGTGTACAAGATGGTGTGTACCGAATGTTGTACGGCTAGCATGGTCTGAAATATTTTTGTCAAAGAATATTGCACCACTTAAAGTTCTGAAAACAAATGTGAATGCGATTTAAAGGTAGTTTGTTACGGAATTCAGTGTGGAATATGAGAAATAGTTAAAAATTAATTAATTAATTTCCTTTAATCATTGACTGAAACGATTCTTGGTGGGACACATGGTTTCACATTGAATTGTTTTTTTGTTTATTTGGAATATAATAAATTAAAAATATATGGGGAAAAAAGTGACATATGGAATGTGCAAAGTCCCTTGGCTTAGTTGAGGAATGTTTTTTTGTTATTTCATTGGCAGGACCCGACCCAAAATTGTTGCAACATACCATTATACCCCTAGTAGTAGCTTTCTTGTCATACAATTTGAAATTCCATATTTCCATCACAATGTAGTTGTAGTGATCTATATTTTTATACTCGTAATAGTTTTTGCCCTCAGGAAAGTTTGAATGTGTGACTTCAAATTAGATAGAGAGTATTGTCATTTGATCAAACAAGCATGAGAATGAAGTTATTAATTATTAATCTATTATATATATATAAAAGTATAGTTAAATCCTATTCCTAGATCTAACGGTCCAATTTCAATTTCACATGCAATCCAACGGTTAAATTTCAATGTGGCAATTTTGAAAAAAAAAACAATTAATGGACATTTATAACTTCCATTAGAAACAGTTTTCTCCGCACTTTCTAATTCAGATCTGTCAACCAAACGACGTCCTGCCATCTCCCCTCCCTTCGTGCCTCAGCAATCGAGCGATCGAAAGACCACAGGGAGTCCATCATAGTCATTTCCTTCATCGTCTATAGTTGCCGTCTTCTACTTTTTGAGGTTCATCAGCACTTTGATCATCCTCCTCCATTCATAGAACCGACAAAAAACAATAGCGGTATATCTCCCTCAACCCATGATTTCAGTATCTCCACTAATCGAGGTGAGGCATTTTCATGTGTCTATCGTTAGAGTTAGTTTGTAGATTAGAATCATAATCGAATGAATTGTGCAATTGATTGTAAAATTGGATGAATTGAATGTTGAATTGGATGTTGAATATGTTTGGGTTGAATTTCCAATGGAATTTCCGACGGGTCACCGACGGAACACCGGCAGTGGAGTAGGTCCGATTTGGCAGACCACTGGGCAGACTCAATTGAGTCCGAATTGGTCCAAATGGACCTATTTGGGTAAGAATTGATCCAATGAGATTTGTTTTGGTGCAATTGGGTCCATATGAGTTCAATTTAATTTGATTAGGTTTGAGTAGATTACGGCGGATTAAGACCAACTGAACAAGATGGCGACAAACTTAGCAATGGCAGCGACCGGCTATCGTCGACGAAATCTAGCAATGGCAGCAGCCAATGATCTTCTACATTCTTAGGGAAATAATGAAGAACATCCGCGTTTGTTTGGATTGTCACAACTGCTTGAAAATAACTTCAGGGCTCATTCAAAAGCGGATTGTTGTTAGAGATTCAAACTGTTTCCAAACAAATGTGGATGTTCTTCATTACTCTCCTAAGAATGTAGAAGATCATCGGCTGCTGCCATTGCTAGATTTCGTCGACGATAGTCGGTCGCTGCCATTGCTAGGTTTGTCACCATCTTGTTCAGTTGGTCTTAATCCGCCGTAGTCTACTCAAACCTAATCAAATTAAATTGAACTCATATGGACCCAATTGCACCAAAACAAATCTCATTGGATCAATTCTTACCCAAATAGGTCCATTTGGACCAATTCGGACTCAATTGAGTCTGCCCAGTGGTCTGCCAAATCGGACCTACTCCACTGCCGGTGTTCCGTCGGTGACCCGCCGGAAATTCCATTGGAAATTCAACCCAAACATATTCAACATCCAATTCAACATTCAATTCATCCAATTTTACAATCAATTGCACAATTCATTCGATTATGATTCTAATCTACAAACTAACTCTAACTATAGACACATGAAAATGCCTCACCTCGATTAGTGGAGATACTGAAATCATGGGTTGAGGGAGAGATACCGCTATTGTTTTCTGTCAGTTCTATGCATGGATGGATGGAGGAGGATGATCGAAGTGCTGATGAACCTTGAAAAGTAGAAGACGGCGACTATAGACGATGAAGGAAATGACGATGATGGACTCCCTCTGGTCGTTCGATCGCTGAGGCACGAAGGGAGGGGAGATGGCAGGACGCCGTTTGGTTGACAAATCCGAATTAGAAGGGGTGGAGAAAATTGTTTCTAATGGAACTTATAAATGTCCATTAATTAGTTTTTATTTCAAAATTGCATGTGAAATTGAAATTGGACCGTTAGATCTAGGAATAGGATTTGACTGTACTTTTATATACTCCGTATGTAATAGATATCATAAATTCAAATCAATTCATCCAAATCAAATAAAGAATATATGGAACCATTAATTCATTCATATTTCATAGCAATTAGAAAGACTTCAAACTAAAAATAAATAATTAACCCTAGATTTTAAATCCAAAGAATAAAACAGTGAAAGAAAGAAAATTAGAAAAAAAATACTAAATTGGAAAGATAGTGAATACGGAATACCTTGAGGGTGCAGCGGCGTCTGGGGGAAGCGGCGGCGGCGGCGTCGTGTCTCTACCGGCGGCGTTCTCAACAGTCGGCACTCTCTTCTTCCTTCCAGCTTCTGCGCCTCTGCGGTTTATGTTTGCGTTCTACGAAGTAGGAAGGGGAGGGGGGGGGTTAATGAGATGGCTTTTAACATATTGGTCTGGGTGCTGGAGTTCTTATATACATACGGAGCACATATAATATTAAAAACTAATTGGGCCTCTTAGAATCATTGGTCAGGTCCGGACGGAGTGTTTGTCCCCCTATTGGGCCAGCCCTGGGATATACAATCGGGTCATTTTAAATCTAACCAACTAACCACTTGTAAGTTGTAAATATTTTTCCATTCCCTAATTTTTAAAGCACCAACCCCAAGAGAACCACGCTGGTGGGCATGGACTTCCAGACGAGCAATCAAGTTAAACGAAGTACAAACCGTTGGATATGCATTCCACACGGACAACTGGGCTGAAGACTATGACCGCTAGGAATGAATATCTAAATAGACAACCAGCAAGGTGGGCTAAATTTGCTTCCAATACATGGACTAAAACATGTTAAAAGATTGAATCGAATCGATTATTTAGTACAACTCAATAGTCCTTATATATCAAATTATTTTCACTTCAAGATCCGATGTAGAATACTCACTTAACAAAACTCATTTGAAATATTTATGTGATGTTTCAAACTTATTTTTTAAAAATGACATTTTTAAGTAACAACTAAATTTGAAAGGAGATAGTATAAATTTATTCGTTTTCTTTTGTGGGTTATAAAACTTGATTATTTAAGTAAAAATGTGTAGCGTTTGGATAGATATTTAAATATAATTTTTTTGTTTAAACAATATAATTTTGAATGTTTGCAAGCAAAAATTAGTCAAGCACGGAGTGCTTTTTTATATGAGTGAAGAGTGCTCTAAATACGGAGTAAGAGAGATGATACTATTAGTTAGAACCTAAAATTATCAAAATAAGCAATAAGCAAAAATTTATGTATCAACTTGCTTTTGACTTAGAGGATTAAGCAATGGTTCTAGCTTCCCTTTAAAACACTTACATATATTTGGTTCAAAAAATTTGGAAAGAAAAGAAAAAGGAAATAAGAAGAAAAATATTTTTCTTGTTTAATTGGAAAGTAAAAAAATGAAAGTAATAAAAAAGAAGACAAAATGTATTTAACGAAGAGAAGAGGAAATCAAATACCTTCAATTTCATTGAAAACAATGAGATCTCGTTTGGTACATGGAATTCAAATTATGGAATTGGAATTGGGGACTTCAATTCCAATTCTGGTGTTTGGTAACACAAAAATTATGTGGATTTGGAATTGATAGTGCAAAAAATGAATTGGAATTGGCAGAATTCAATTCTATGGAATTTCAATTCTAATTCAATTTCAATTCTACGAATTTCGTATACTAAACGGACCCTGAGAGAAAATCATTTTTTTACTTTTCCTTCCAAATTTATTGAACCAACATAGTGTGTGAAATTCAAACGACAAACATAGAGCAAGGGTTCCGGTAAGAGATCAGCTCCGTCTCAATCGGAGGCTCAGCTGCTTCGCCCAATTGTAATTAACTGCTTTTTGAGGTAAAATGTGACCTAAAGCTCTCCGATCATCGGAAAATCTTGAAATAATTGCTAAATTTTTAAAAATACATTGATTGAAAAATTCAAACTTTTCTGTTTCAGATAATCATAGATTCATCACCGAAGAAGTAGATATATTTTTGTTGTTTTATGATATTTCTGTTGTTTTCATCCCAAGATTGCGTTTGGTTCGATGTCTAGAAGTGGAAGGGGAAGGGAAAATATCTAAGTTGTACGAGTAATTAAAAAATCCATTCGTTTTGGTAGAAATGCATACAATTCTCAAGCTAGTGAGCATTAATCGAATGGTTAATATTAAATGGTGTTTGGTGCTCATCTCACTAAATTCATAACTGAATATTGTCCTTTGATGTGCATCTTACTTTTGAAGGAATTGAACAGCCTTCTGTGGTACTTTTCTTCTAATGATAAGAATCGATGGACTTTAATCCGCCAGATTTTATAACACTTATTGAGAATTGGTTGTAGATAGGAACAGAGAGATGAAGCTATAAGAACCATTTGTATATTGATATGGTGTTTATAGGTTCAAGAGGTCAGTGATGGAGGCAATCAAGCAAAAACCAACCCACTTTTCTAGGAGGCATGTGGACCGTGATCATGGGATGTCTCTTGGTCCCCTAACCCTCACCGATGGAGTGGATCCTCACTTCCGGCGTTGGGAGTGATGTTTGGTTGCGCTATTGGGGGTAGTTTGGGGAAAGGAAAATGGAGGAGTTATAGATTCTTTCATTTTCTCGCCCGCCCGATTTTTTGAACGCAATAAGTGGTGAATGTTGTTTCATGTCTATTCTTTCTGTCCAAAAAGTCTAGTTCTGATAAAGCTGCTGTTTTTAGTATTAGAAACATTGTGTGTGTGTGAGAGGAGAGTAGTTAATCTGTTGATGAATGGATTTTGGAAGATAGAGTAGTGAGGAGAGGATTTAACGAAAAACTTTGCAGTATGGCATTACTTTTAGGGTTGAATCTTTAATTCATCTTGTTTTTATGCCACCTCTCAGTTTTTTTTAACACCATATATGAACATAAATAACATTAATCACATTGGTTTCTTGTACGTTTGTTATTCCTTCCATAGAATTGCTGTCATATCCCAATACTCATGAATCACAGTATGGCATCTTTAGTATGCTCTCCATACACAAGATTGTCGTGTACTCTTCCCCATGTGCGGCGTCATCACCCCAACAAATCTGTGAAGCATAAGAATAATAATATTATTCTTAATGGAGGAACCTTTCCCAAAATGCCCCTTAAACTGCTGCCTGTTTGCTGTTCGAACCCCTCTTCATGGGAACCTGCACCCTATGCTCTCAAAGGTGATGACAAAACAAGATTTCTAGAAGGGACAGCTAGTTTATTTGACACTATGATTCCCAAAAAAAGTGAAGAAGAAGAAGAAGAAGAAGAAGAAGATTCAATAAACAAAATCAATACTACAGAATCAAGTAGTGAGAGGGCTGTGAAGATTCAATACTTTCAATGGCCAATGTGGCTTGTTGGACCGGTCCTGCTTTTAGCCACAGGAGTCGTACCCACTCTATGGCTACCCATTTCATCGGTCTTCCTCGGACCCAACATAGCCAGCCTTCTTTCTCTGACAGGTCTCGACTGCATTTACAACCTGGGAGCCACCCTCTTCCTCCTACTTGCCCATTCGTGCGCACAAAGACAAATCCCAACTCAAAATCCCAAAAATGCCCCTCCTCTCACTTACCGGCTATGGAACATGTTTGCGAGCATTGTTGGACTTATGATCCCCGTGGCAGTCATGTTGGGTTCTCAAAAGGGTCTGGTTCAGCCCCATCTGCCCTTGATTCCTTCCGCGGTTCTTCTGGGCCCCTATCTTCTGCTTCTCTCAATTCAGATGCTCACGGAGTTGCTGACGTGGCACTGGCAGTCCCCGGTGTGGCTGGTCACGCCGGTGGTGTATGAAGGCTACCGGTTGTTGCAGCTGATGAGGGGCTTGAAGCTGGGCGCAGAGCTAAGTGTGCCCTCATGGATGCTGCACACAACCAGGGGCCTTGTCTGTTGGTGGGTATTGATCCTCGGCGTTCAGCTCATGGCAGTCGCTTGGTACGCCGGTTTCGCTGCTAGTTCTGATCATCGACAAAAGCTGCGTGGTCTTGCCGCCGGCAATTCCAACTAGTTTGTTGGCATGTGCTCTCTACTGTTTTTTTTTTGGTGATGTATATGAAAAATTGCAGTGTTTTTTTTCTCTCTTTCTCTTTTGGTTTCTGCCAACACATGGGAGGAATATAGAGGATAAAATCATGTTTTTATTTATACAACGATTTGTGCGCTTTATGGGATGTTGGTTTTTTTAGCATTTGCGTACATTTTAACCGCAAAAAGATTCACTTCTCTAGCCATGGTACAAAGAAATGATAAAATGGATGAATAGACGAAGTGTATAGTAGACTCTTTTCGTTCCACAGATAACTTTATTTGGATGTCCCGAAAATTTTATATTTTTCTTATTTGGATGCCCTACAAATATTTTACCCTACTTTTTTTATAGGTAAGAAAATTATGATCTACAAAATTTCCTTCTAAATGAATTTTAGACACATTATTTTTTTATCTTTTAACACTTTTCTTGAATTCTGTAAAGTCAATTACTAAAGTTTTTCTTTTTGAAATCCTAAACTGCACGAGTCATAAATAACCATAAGAATTAAAGAACAAACTGAATTATTTGGGTGGATTATTTTAAAATAAAATTATTGTAACATTTAATATTTTGAATAAAGGAGAAGAAGGTAAAAGTAATATTATTAACTTTCACTCTTTATTTTTTTGTTGACAATTTAATAGTGTAAAAGGAGACTAAGATAGAGCACACAATATAAATGCAAAGTGTTATTAGGCTATCATTCTCCCACTTGTCACCTCTTACATTTACTCTCCACTAGACATCTATATACTCTCAAAACTCTCATCTCATCCACAAACTACATTACTCTCTCTTCGAACTAGCTTGGCTTACATCTTTCCTTTCATTGCCTCATACTCGTGAGGACTTAAACTCTCCCCCTTCTTCACCTATCTATACCTTGCTTATAAATACAATGTCCATCTCTTTAGTATATAAAATGTGTTCTTTAATATGATTCTTAATCATGTTCTCTCTATATAGTATTGTAGGGCTTGCAGGAAGGGCTTTATGTGTGAGGGAGCTCTAGGTGGCCACATGAGAACTCATGGCATTGTTGGAGATGAGAGTGCATACACTGAGGACGGAGACGACGATGACGACACCGAGATAACAGACAACAAGAGGACGACGATGTACGCGTTAAGGGCAAACCCTAACCATGGGTCGAAAAAGAGCGCGATTAGAATCTGCGAGCATTGTGGACGCGAATTCTTTTGCTGGAAGTCTTTCCTAGAGCACGGGGAATGCACCCAAAGAGAACATTATGGAAGCTTGTCGAAGCGGAAGAGGTCAACGAGGAAAAGAGTGGGTGATAATGAGGAAAAAAAAGACGACATTGTTGTTGCGAGATGGTTGGTGGATTTGGCAAATAATAGGGTGGAGGGGTCGCCTTTTTCATCGTCATCATGCGCTTCCACTAGTAAGGAGGATGAGGAGGAGGAGTTCACGGTGGCGACTCGCCGCCTCCGCGGAGATGGTTTGGTCGCCGTTCCCAATAAGAACAATGTGTTTTCTAAGAAGACAACTTTTGAGTGCAAAACATGCAACAAAGTGTTCACATCTCATCAAGCTTTAGGTGGGCATAGGGCTAGTCACAAGAAGGTTAAAGGATGTTATGCAACCAAAAAAGAAGAAATTATTTTGGACGACGACAACAACAACAATAAGAGTGTCAATTATACTAGGGGACACGAGTGTTCTATATGTCACAAAGTTTTCCCAACAGGACAAGCCCTTGGAGGGCACAAAAGGTGCCATTGGATCACACCCAATCATCATCATCACAGGAATCATCAAACCATGTTTACGAACCGGCCCGTGGATCATCATCGTTTAGACGACACCATTGATCTCAACCGAGCTCCTGCAGCTGCGCAAGTTGACGATAATTCTTATTATTATGGGCATGCAAATGATGATGTTTCTACAGAGATTCATCTGCAACATTGGCAATGTGTGAATAATAAGAGTTTTGATGAAGAGAAGAAGAAGAAGGATCCGGTGTCGTCCATTAATGGTGATGGTGAAACAGAAAAGGAGTTGAAGAAGTTTGCAGAGGTGAGTGGACAAAATGATGAAATGGGTAACACTAACGATGATGTGTTGCACAAGTGGTTACATGTTGGAATTGGTTCATCAACAACACCAGTTGAAGACAAGAAGAAGATTGATTCTTAATAAATTTATTCTTTTGATGTACAACAAATATTTATGCTTTAGTACCAAGTTGTCAAAAGTATAGAAGTTCATACTTGTATTTATTATTTATAGGCCAAATTTCTTTGATAATTTTCCATATTCATCTTACAAAATAATAAAATCTTGTTATCTTTTGTTTTATAATTTTTTTGATATATTATTGAAGATTTGAAGTATATAAATTTTACAAAGAAAATCTTGAAATACCATATATCAATTTTTAAATAAATTTAGATGAAAATTAATCCTAGGATTGATGTATCATGTGTTGTGTTAATCTCTTACACGTATATATTTTTAAGTGAAATTTACATTAAATCGTATTAAAACATATGTCTTTTTCTAATGTAGTATTTAAAACTTTTATTTATTAAATAATACTTGAATATTGTTTATTAGTGGTGGACATTTAACATTAAAAGTACATTGAGAAATTAAAACATACGGAGTAATTGGGATGATACTACATTGGAATTCACTATGTTTTGAGAAGTAGTAAGTTTTTCGATTCTTAAGGGTCCGTTTGGTATACAGAATTGATGAAATTGGAATTGAATTGGAATTGAAATTCCATGAGATTCAATTCCATAGAATTAAATTCACCAATTCTCATTCATTTTTTACACTATCAATTCCAAATTCATACTCCCTCCGTCCTATAATGATCTTCCCGGTTCGCAAAACGAACAAAAATCCCAAGTTTTTTCAATCTATTTTATTTAAATATTGGTATAGAAATAAAAAATAAAACATACATATTTAAAAACTACACCAAAAGTTCAACAAAACAAGTGGTGACAAGAATATTTTATTTTATCATATAGGCCATGAAAAAACACAAATAAATATAAATTCTCGTGAAGTTGGAATAGTGCTCTGGGAAGATCATTATAGGACGGAAGGAGTATAATTTTTGTGTTACTAAACACCAGAATTAGAATTGAAGATTTCAATTCCAATTCTATAATTTAAATTTCGTGTACTACACGGAGCCTAATTCTCAAGAGTAAAAAATTGAAAAAAAAAGTTAAAATTTGTCAAAGATAAAAAATACCCCGTAAAATATTGTAGACCGAAGCGAAGCACTGGGCCTGTTTGGGAATAGCGTTAGAGATTAGCGTCAGCATTTTGGATAAAATTTTAATGGTGCAGATTACTTTGAAAACGCTAACGCTAAACGCTGCCCGTAGATAGTCTTTTCAAAACGCTAATGCTAATCGCTACCCCAAATAGGCCAACTGAAAGCAGTATGAATTTTGTTTCCCCTGGGCTTCTTCCCCACGACCGGCGATTCATTTCCCACCCTATCAGTTCCTTCCCAAATCACAATCACAATCAGTGATTGCCCAGCCGCATTTGTTAAACTCCGCCTGCTCCACTGTATTCCAATGGCGTCCTACGTAGAATTCGGGAAATGCAACTTGGTAGGGTTCTCTCTTACTCCCGCCGGCGCTCGCCACCACCGCGGCGGCCGCCCATCATCTTCCACCTACCTTTTCTCCCCATCTTCTAAATCCGTTCTCTTGAGGCGACCCGTTTACCCGAATCTTGGTCTGAAAGTGTTTGATGGTTGCCCTCTATATGCCTTGAAGGCCTCCGGGAGGATTCCATTGATTACTAGGGCCGAAGGAGACTGCTTTGATCATGCCGAAACCCAAGAGGTAATGGGATTTTACTTTCATTGTGTTCTAAGTATCTATGCATATTTCTACGAGAGTTATTTGGATAGATTTTGTGTTTCTGTCAACTGCAATTCTTGCAAAATGACATGTTAGTGTGTAATTGCTACTTTAATCTAGTGCATGCTGTTTGATGATGTCCATTCAATCTCACATTCTTATATTAATGTGCAAACTTTTTACATCTAAAGGAAGGAACTTTTTTCTTCTCCGATAGATTTTACAGAAACAAGGGGCTTTTTTCATAAAAAATAACCATTTCTAGCAAAATTATGTAGAATGAGTTTGTTAGCTGAGTAGGCATCAAGATGATACGTAGTATCTACTCATTAGCAATGCATATTATCTACTCATTAGCAATGTATATTATTTACTTCTCCTGCATTTATCAATACGATTGCAGTAGGCAGGGCTAATACATTGAGTTTTCTGTACTTAGATGATACTCCCTCAGTCCGGATTTATTTATCCACTTTTTCCCATTCTGGAGCATCTAGAATTAATTGTGCACTTCTCATATTTTGTAAGCAAGTTATTGGGAAAGTGGACAACTAAATCTGGGCGGAGGGAGTACAATTCTTTCATTGAAATCACTGAGAGGTTTGCTTTCTAGGAAGCCCACTTGGCCTCAATTTCATCAGCAAGGAAGAAATCAAGTCAATTGACTAAGAGGGTAGTCTTTGGTCTAGGCATTGGGGGTACTGCTGGAGGTGTGGTATTAGCTGGAGGATGGGTTTTTACACTGGCCCTTTCTGCTGCTGTGTTTGTGGGCGCTAGAGAGTACTTTGAATTGGTTAGAAGTCACGACAATGCCACTGGAATGACCCCACTGTCCCTAAATGTGTCGCGGCTTGTCTCTGTGATGTGCGCCCTTATGCCAGCACTTACTTTGTAAGAGTTTCTAAAATCTATTATTCCTGGTTTTAAATGGAAAAAAAACCAGGGGATGATGTAAAAGACAATTACTCCCTTATATGTTGAGAAACCAGACTCTTTCTATGGCGTAAAAGACAATTACTCCCTTTGTTCACATAACTTAAATAATCAACTAATTTGCACAAATGTTTTTTTATCTAATATTTCATCACATGTTCTCATAATGTTCAAAGATGTGGTGTCTTTTAAGCAATCTTTTTGAACTTGATTATGGTTGCTCAGTTGGATCATGCTCTACTAAAAGAGCCCAGTTCTGAAAGCTTAGTTTTTTGTTACCTAAAAGAGAGTCTTGTTCCATCAATGGAAATAATATCTCAAGTAATTTTCCAAAACAAAGTAGCAAGCAACTGTAAAAGACTTGTTCAATGCCCCAAAGTTGAATGATATATCTTCCCTACAACCGTTCTTTTCAAACTTCTTTCCAAAGATTCCTTCAACTGATTGGGGTTTTCTTGCTTCTTGTCAGATACTTGGGACAAACCGATGTTTCAGTTATTTCTGCAGCCTTTGTTGTTTCTGTGACGTTGCTTTTGCAAAGGGAAATCCCTCATTTCCACCAGCTTACTAGTGCCATATTTGGGCTGTTCTATTGTGGCTATCTTCCTTGTTTCTGGGTTAAGTTGAGATGCAGTTTAGCAGTCCCAGCCCTAAACACACGTAAGAATCAAGTTTCAGTGATGGTGTGCACCGTGCACGTGTTTCTTCATTTTCATTTTTTGGAATTAAATCTAACTGTTTTTGTATCGATACAGACTTAAACTTTTCGTGCTTCTTACTTTTTTATGAAGTTTTGGGCTATAAAAGCAGCAATGCAACTAGGGTTAACGGAAACAAACTCTATAATAGGTTGTCGTTGTAGTGTTGCAACCCCTTTTAGCTTCTTATTTTCTTCAATTAGAATGCATTTTCCATTGCATGAAACAATTCAAGCTAGACAATTTTTGGCTTTTCATTGATGGAACTGAAGGATACTATAGAATTTACATTCAGTCATTCGAAGGATAACCAAAATGTTATAAAACCTGGGATTATCAGGTAGTACCAAAATATTGTTTGGCATGATTTTGGTTTTCACACAAACCAGGGAAATGACACAAACCATTTACAGAAAAATCTTTGGTTCTCTAACATTCCATTAAATAATTTGAACGAGGAACATATTTTTGAATTTTCACGAGGGGCAATTTTGGAATAGCAGGAAATTTTGAATGAATTTTGAAAATTTAAATCCATGCAGGAATAGCAGAAGCCTGGCCAGCCATATTCGGAGGACGAACTCTGTGGACGGTGGGTCTAGTGGCGTCCTTGATCTCTTTCAGCAGTATCATTGCAGCTGACACATTCGCATTTTTTGGCGGGAAGGTAATTTGTTTTTAGCCTGGGGAGGTAAGTTTATGAGGTTAAAATCTATTTTGGGAGAAAGGGACTAATTTACATGCCAAGGGTTTATTATTTCACATCACACTCAAAATCTGTCTAAAACTCATCTGCAGGCTTTCGGTAGGACACAACTCACAGAAATCAGCCCAAAGAAAACTTGGGAGGGGGCATTAGCAGGGCTGGCTGGCTGTGTAGCCACCACTGTACTTTTGTCAAAGTTACTATGCTGGCCCAACTCTATGCTTAGGTGGGGTGGAATAATCTATATGAACTGATATTGACACTCCAAAATTGAAAATGACACTGCAAATTCTGCATTGAAAGACCAAAATATCCTCTACATAGAAGAAGAAGAAGTTAGCTAAAGTAACAAAATTTTGGAGTGCCAATAGCATTTTCCTATTTTTTTGTGATCTATTCCTTTGTTTTTTTCCTCTTATAGAGTCTTCTTTGTTTCCTTCAGTGGTGTGGCTTTTGGGGTTGTGAACTTTCTTGGATCAATTTTTGGCGACCTTACGGAGTCCATGATCAAACGCGATGCTTGTGTAAAAGATTCGGGATCCCTCATTCCGGGACATGGTAAAAAGACCTTTATACCCCCATTTTTCGTATACCAACTACGGTTGATGCCATAGAGTGGAACTGAGTTATTTGAGAGTGCTGAAATATTGTTGATATGTGCAGGAGGAATACTGGACAGAGTGGACAGCTATATATTCACCGGTGGCCTCGCTTACTCGTTTGTGAAAATATGTTTGTCAACCTATGGTGTTTGATCAGAGGGTCACGCTACACTCAGAGCACAGATGACACCAAAGTTGACACTGCCAGTGTTTCGCGTGAAATGGTAAAAATGACATCTCTAGAGTTATTAATGTACCATTTTCTTTTATCAAATAATACTATTTGCTCTAAAGTTTAGATATATAAGTGCATAATTCTTTCATTAATGCTTGTAAAAAAAAGATGAATGAATCAAACCCAAGGTTTTTAGAGACAGTGCTTTTTTGAAAGCGATAATAGAAGAACTGAAAAAAGGACTGGAAATTATGCATCCAACTATAAGGCTGACAGGACAAGTCTCTGAAAGAAGCTTTTGCAAGCCTTTTTTTTCCTTTTTTTTTCTTTTTAGCTTTCATGTGCCTTTTTTTCATGTTCATTGTTTACCCATGTGGAAAATATGTTTAAATATTCCTTGGGTCTCAATTTTTTTACTCCATTTTTCTTAAATTCACATTTCAAAAAACACTTTCAAAAGACATATGATTGTTTTTTTTCATATTTACAAAGAGAATGTTAATAACAATAATTAAATAAAAAATAGTTTTTAATCACCACTATTAGACTTAAAAATCCAGATAGGAGACTCCCTCCAATTACCAAATGGTCTAGTGGAGAAAGAGAAGGAGAAAGCGGCGGACCACAAAAGAAACTTGAGCTTCAAGGGAGTCCTTTAATTTGTAGGAGTCCCTACCCCATACTCTCCTTTACAAGAACACAAAGAGTGTGAACTAACAAAAGAAAAGGGTTATGATAACCACAGCAAAGTAACAAGCCCTCTCTAAAAGTTAATAGGAAGACAACAAAAACAGTTTCTCATTGCCTAAAAAATTAATTACATTCTCATTTTTTTTGTTTTCATATCATCTCAAACTCGTAAATCCAGATTTGATCTCAATTGTTCCAAAATATAATTAGTCTCATTCAAAACTTACATTTGATATGATAATAGATCAGTTATATTATTTATTAAATAGTACGGAGTATTATTTATTATTTATTAATATTCTATAGATTAGGGTTTAGTACGGGCCCGAACCCATTAGTTCAACTAGCGTAGCTTTACTCTCTATATATTATAATCCTTCCCCGCTATTATGAAATCAATAAAGAATTATCAAAACTCTAATCTCTCGTCTCTCTTCTCTTGGAGTCTGGAAACACTCGAAGTTTTCCATCTTTCTCTACCTCATCTTCTTGGAGCTTGAAGAACGCTCGAAGTTCTTCTCTATCCGATACGATATTCGTATCAACATCACGTACTCTTAAAAATATATATTTTTTCTAGTTTATGAAAACACTTTTACAATCTTCTCCCATACTATAGTTTGACCATGANGTGTCTGTGAAAAACATGATGTAAGATTAGTAGACAAATACTGGTATACTTCTATCAAGCCCTAATTACACTATATATATATATATATATATATATATATATATATATATATATATATATATATATATATATATATATATAGTGTAATTAGGGCTTGATAGAAGTATACCAGTATTTGTCTACTAATCTTACATCATGTTTTTCACAGACACACCGTCGATAACTATTTGTGATTGCACAGATAATTGTTATCTGTGTATATTAGTTCCAATTGTTATATTGTATGTAATTCATGTAAAAAGAGTGTCCCGTGTAACTATCATTGCAACACTCAACTTATGATAACCAACTTATAATAAATAAAGCAATTTAGCTCCAAAACTAGGGGAATTGGCCCACACTAAAGACAAACATTAGGCAAAAAAAGAGCAGCAAGTCCACGTCCTAATTGTATCCAACGCCTAATTGTAACGGGGAAAATCCAAATTCGTGTCACACAATTTGTGCTTTTTACAACTAATTTAGACCGGACAATAATAATATTCCTCGCCGACCTTTTTCCTAACATTGAGAGAAAAAGAAAATAGTTTTACTACCTCCGCAGAATAAATACTTACGAGTACTATTCATAGGAAAAATTTCTTCAAAGTTACTCCAATTCTCTTCAAATCTTTTTTCTTTTTGTTTAAAATAAAAAAACACTCCAAGATTGGTGCTCCCTTCGTTCTTATTAATATTACGTACATAGAATCAAATTCCATCTACTTTCAAAATTTATTTTCATTACTTATTTGATAGGATAAAATTGTCATGTCACCACCTTATTTATGTCTCACTGAAGTAATGTGATTTTAATTTTAAAATACCATTTCATTTCTCAAATAAGTTAAATTGAAAATAACTTGGATTAAATATTGTAAATCAAAACAGATAATTAAATTTAAGATGGAGGGAGCATAATTTTTATCTAATTTGAAAGATAAAATGAGATTGTTGGTAACGGTCTCAAAAACTACTTCAATCTCTTGATCTCTTATTATGATCTATCTCATCTCATCTTTTTTGTCCTAATCTTTTTGCGCTTCACTGCGTCTACGGTCTTTCCCAAAACCGGCCGATCTAGTAACCTCAATAATTTGAGTGAGTATTTTTTCGGAAGTTATTTGTTTGAAAAAAAAATTGTGATAAAATAAATTGTAAAATTATTTTATGAAATTTTCATAAATAACATTTGGGTAAATTAAACTCCAAACCTCGAAGTTTAAAATAATTGATATGTATTGTGACAAAATTAGATTGACTATGCATATATGAATTTGAAAACAAACAATTATTACGGAACAGAGACTAATTAGTTGTATAATCAAATTACATAATGTTAGACCGATTTATGTCGTTGAGAATGTGTCCATCACTTTTTGACTTTAGCAGTCTAACTGTATATGATTACTTAATACCGTCAATGCTCCCTATAATTTGTGCTTAATTCATTATATGTACCTTATAACTAGATTTCTTCTTTGATCTGTCCATACACATTTCTCAAGGAAAAAACAGACATATACAATTAAAAATCAAGCTCCACTTAGAAAGAAAATGAAAAGTTTAAAATGTATAAACAAAATGAAATGTGTATCTTTCGTAAATGAATAATAAGAGATTATTAAAAAATTACAAAAATATAAGGGAATGCAAATACATTCAAATGTATGATACACAAGTTGAATACAATTGATTTTGAAATGAAATCTTAAAGGTAACTTGGCAAAGACAGAGAGTGTATAGAATCAAGTTCAATTTATGTCAACTGCACTAGGAAATAACTATGCACTAGGAGATAACTATGCTAAGTATAGCCCCTGCACGTACCAGGTGCAGGCTCCACTCACTTCCATCAATCTGCGATTGAAGTTCAATTTACATCTACTCAAGGAAGCCACTCATCTTTTTTTGGAATGAAATCTCAAAATTCTACATGATATTAATGCAAATGATTAAGGGTTCAAAGAAGAAACTCAGGTCAATTCAAATAACCCCTTGTAGAATTTTACTTCATTGGTTAGCAGTAATAAAACTAAACTTTGATTGATTTCAATAAAAATTAATGCAGTCTAAGGTAATGTATACGTTGCAAATTAAATTAATGAGGCAGTAATTACAGAGTAGTCCAAGACAAATTAAACTAGTATGGTGCAGCAGAGGTCCAAAAAACAGAACAGATGTGTTAAAAATTCATCTTCTTCTTTCTTTTTTCCATTCCTGGTTTTGTGCTGTTACAACATATGAACATAGACCAAAATGAAACCAATACCAGCATATAATAACAGACAATTACAAGCCTGTAATCCTAAAAATAACATTTTTTTGTCCTTCTTACTTTGTGGAACAAATCTGCCTACAGTTACATATAACACAATTAGTAGCACAAACAAAGTCTACAGGCAAAAGAAGCATTGAGATTTAATTTCGAACTTGAGAAGATTGGCAACTTTTGTTTGTTGAAAAAAAAATGTCATTTTGACCTCCAAGAACCACATTATAACTCACACAGACAGCCAAAATCAGCAACTCCATGCAGAGACAGAGAGAAGCTCCTTCCTTTGCCAGCAAAGGACAAGGGAAGAATGTTTCTTCTCCACGTGGAACCCCCGGACAGGGGTTCTCTTCACCACGCACTCCACCTGAGACTCGTTGAAGTTGCTGAAACTCACCGGAGAGAAGCCGGAGGAGAGGAACGCCGTTTTCCAGTTCTGGGTTTTCTCCTGGGAGTGGAACCGTCCCGTCACGATTTTCTCCATCTCCGGCAGGACCAAGAACCTCTCCACCTTCTGAAGGACATCCAGGTTCACGTTCACGGCGTCCAGAGATTCCAGAAGGTTCGTGTAATGCTGGAGCGCGTGGATGACCTGGTTCGGGAACAGCAGGTCCGTCCGGTCACATGCTCTGTCTATGGACACCACGATTTTAGGGGACAGCCGTTTCACGAAGGGGAGGACTGAGAGCAATTGGTACGTCGTGAAGCAGCTGACCGGGAGACGGACGGCGATTGCTTCTTGGGTCGCCTGAAGAAGGTGGAGGGAATCAATCGCCAAGATTTCGAACTGGAACGGGAGGTTGATTTCCGCGGCGAAATGGGTTAGGTTGTCCTCGGTGAGACGGAGCTCGAGGTCGTCGTGGGTCTCCGGCGAGGCTATAACGGTGATTTTGAGTGTGGGTACGCCGGAGCTTCTCAGGGAGAGCTCTTGCATGAGGGAAGCCCAGTGTCCTCCGTACCCGATATCGAAATCGATTATTCGGATCCTGCCGGACCCGTCTAAGGATTCAAGAAGAGCCTGGTTGCAGGTGAAATTGGCGAATGGGGGAATTGGGGAGATCTCGAAGAATGACTTGTAAGCGCCGATCTTGAAAATAAGGGTGAATGGTGGAACAGGGGATGATGACAAGGAAGAGGGAGATTGGAGGAGAGATTGGAGAGATTCTTTGCAGTAGAAAGCTGCTCTGTAGAATGGGTTTCCGATCGGAGAGAGGTGATGATTGAGCCGCGCCAATATCGCTTGCGCGAGAGCGGGGTTGCCGGACTGGAAAAGCTCCGCCGTCTTGAACAGTTCGTCGATTATGGTTTGCTGCTGCTGTTGATGCAGCTGAACTGTTTCTTCTCCGGCGAGGAAGTTCGGGAGGAGCTGGAAGTGGTGAGAAGGCGGGGGATCGGAAACCAGCCGTCTGTGGATCTGAGATCCGGCGGGGTTTGGAGTCCCGCGATTCTGCCGCTTCGCCGGCGGCGGTATGATGTTGCTCTGTTCGTGCTGGGGGTATGGGAATGGCATGAGGAATGGTGGGTTTTGCATTTGCTGCCGGGAAATCAGCAGATCTGGGTTGAATCCGGGAGGATGAACGGGTATTAGAGCGCTCGCCGGGAATTTCATGCTGGGGGA